GGCAGGTAGAATCAATTGATTCTAAAAGTCTCTGCTATTAGTGGTAAAAATGTCTTTGAAATAAGTTTGAGTTTGAAATTTTTTCCTATGAAATTGAACAACACTTACTAAAAAGATCTCAGAATCTCCCTTGTAGTTTAAAAGAGTGAATAGTTCTCTTCTAATTTGAAAAAAGATTTCAATTCATCTGGAGTTATAAAATCAAGCTGCAAAATACTGTTTCTGCTAAATTTGTTTCAATTTGAAAAACTATTTTTTTAAACTTTGGTTATCATAAAAGATACAGAAACTGACATGTTATAACTTTGTGAGGATATTGATACTGCTTTTCCTCCAAAAAAAGAGTAAAAAAGAATAGTGATTTTTTTTGGTTAGGCAATGGGGTTAAGTGACTTACCCAAGGTCACACAGCTAGTAAGTGTTATGTGCTTGAGGTCACATTTGAACTCAGGTTCTACTGAATCCAGGGCCAGTGCCCTATCCACTGCGCCACCTAGCTGCCCCTAAAAATAGTGATTAACAAACATATCCAAATCTGTATAAGCTTTGTAGAACAGAACAAGTCATGAGTCTATTTTTTAAAAAGCTATTATTAAATAATTTTATTTAAACTGTTAGAGATCAATATCATTTCCAATTTAGATGAGTTGTTTAAAATTTGAAATCAATTTATTATTTAGCTATGAGATTCTGGACACTATAATCAGTTTTTATTCCTTGACAAAAATGAATGACGTTTACTAATTACTAAAATTTTTTATCATCCAATGACATATCCATTACATAATATTAAAACCAGATATCAAAAGATGAAGAGAAAAGCTAATTTCTTCTATCTCATCATAGTCCCTCCAAACATCTAAACACCTTGTAGACCATTAAAAAAAATCATTTTTCCCTCCTCACTTGCTTATACATTATGCATTCCTTAGAATCCTTGAGAGAAGTCCTAGATCTTTTCTGATAACATAGTCCTTCCCTTTTGAAAAACTGTTCTTTGCTAGCAAGGAATTAATTACTCAATTTATTTTTTATGATATAAAACACAGTAGATAGCATCAGATTCCAAGCCCAGGATTTCCATTAACCAGCTGTTAGACCTCGGGCATAATACATGGACCTTAGTTTGTCATTCTTTTCTAGTTTCAAATGGGAAAAAAAAAAGTATTACTTACCTCATGGTTCCTGTGAGGAAAATGTTTGCAAATTTAAAAAAAAAAATAGAAACGCAAATTATTCTATTTTATCTGTAAATGAGTGGGAGTAGATGATACTAATACTCCTGCCTCCTTTGAATGTTCAATTTTTTTGAGCACTCAGTAATGTGCCTAAGAGGTAGTAAGGATGTATAAGAAATGGTCCCTGATTTGACATATCTTATATATCTGGTGGGGAGCAGGAGAAGACTTAGCCATGTGAAAATAAGTAGAAAATTCTAAAAAGTTAATGTATAAATACCATCTGGTTCTAGATGATTATAAGATGACATGATTTTAACAGAACTGGAATAGGAAATCACAAAAAATAATAAGTGGCAAAAAACAAAGAGAAGTGATAAAGAAAAATCCATTGGTACAACTGGAAACATTGTATTTGGTGGCTCTGAAGTCACCCTCTGTAGCAATGATGGTTTAATATCCTGTGCCACTCCTGTCAGATTTGATGAGAACTTTCCAGTGAGGAAACCTTACAAAGGGTTTTTCCTTCCTCCAGTCCCCAGATTCTTACCCTCCTAAAGTCTATAATATTTTATATCTTAACTTTTCTTTTCCTCCTGGCCATTATATCATATAATTCTCATCTACAAAGTCTATTGAGGTAAAACCAAACCATTTTCCAATCTTTTAGAACCATTTTTGACATACTTATTCATCCTCAATACACATTTGTCATTATAAATTAGTCTGTCTTGTTTGCCTATTTGATGGTAAACTCTTTATGGGAAAGATTATCTGCAGTGTAATTCTTTAAACAGAAATGCATCGTTAGCTGAAAGTCCTTTTATTAGTATATAATAAATGTTTTATTTTCTCATTCATTTTCAATCCTATAAAGCTGTAGGTAACATAACAATGAATAACTTTAATTTTAGTAATGAAAGGCTCTTTGCTAACATAGACTTCTCAAAAAAAAACCCACAAAAAAAAGAGCATTGGATGTACAATTTACATTCTAAGTATATACATTTCTATAAAACCAAGAAAATTAACCTGTACATTTGCATAAAAAGCAGAGTAATTCTTTAAAAAAAAGTTTTTGAAGTTTTCCTTTTAAATATCCATACTATCTGGTTAAGGTAACACACAATTTAGGATTATACAGTATAAAGATAATACCAATTGACCAAAAGGGTATTAACTTTTTTAAAATATAAAAAGATATAACATACTTTCAAAAGTTTGAATTTTAAATGGACATTTCAACAGCAAATTAATTCAAAGTACAAAATGCATATCCAATGCAAAATACTGCATCTACATAAATATTTCCTACAAAAGCTCCCACTAAGCTGTATATATAAAATACCCACACTTTTGGGATGAATATAGCTAATTGTAGTTCCCTCTTTTCACCAATCTTACTTAAGCTACCCCACCAAGCTTACATAAACCCTTTTCCCCTTAAATTTATTTAAGTTCCAGAGCAGAGGAAAGTAAGGGATACAGGGGAAAGGGGAGGGGCTGGGTAGTATAAAAGGGACCTTACAAGAGTTTTGGTTGTTTAGTTAACTGTGTCCAATTTCTCATGACTCCATTTAAGGTCTTCTTGGCAAAGACATTGGAGTGGTTTGCCATTTCCTTCTCCAGCTTATTTTACAAATGAGGAAACTGAGGTAAACAGGGTTAATTGACTTGCCCAGGGTCACACAGCTAGTAAGTGTCTGAAGCCAGATTTGAACTCAGGAAGATGAATCTGCCTGATTTCAGGCCTGACATTCTATTCACTATGCCAAGTTAAATGACAGCAATCCTTGGCTACCAGGAGGAAGAGGAAGAATGGAGGATAAGTCCTACACAATATATAAGGAGGCAAAAGTAGTCTTTATCATCCTATTCCCTCTTTTTCCTTTCCCCTGCTTTTCTCTCATGTCCTGAAACCTCTTCTGCTCCAAAATTTCAGGTTCCCTCTCCCAGTTTTCTCATGCTAAAAAATTTTCTCTGGATTCTTATGCTATCTACTTCAAAACCCTCATTCTCTTACTTTGCAATCACAAAGGAAACAATCTGGTCACATTAATTTACATCGGATGAGGACAAACTTAAGTTATGACAACTCAATCTTCCAGTGGCTAATTTCCTTATTATTCTAATTAAATCTCAAATCGATAGTGTTTGTGGGGTAGTCCTAGGAAATAAAGTGTGAGGAGGAGGCAGTGACTTCTCTTAAATTATGATTCTTTTTTTTTTTTTGGTGAGGCAATTAGGGTTAAGTGACTTGCCCAAGGTCACACAGCTAGTAAGTGTTAAGTGTCTGAGGCAGGATTTGAATTCAGGTCCTCCTGACTCCAGGGTTGGTGCTATATCCACTGTGCCCCTAATTTAGCTGCCCCTAATTACAATGATTCTTGAAGCAGGAGAAGATAAAGGAACATTTGTAGAAGTCCAGCTCACATAGAAAGGAGGTAGAAGTGGAGAAAGAAAGAAATGATATGTAGGCCAAGAAAGAAGGTGTCCTGAGGTCCATTTATATACCTCATAATGCATAAACTCAGGGGAACACAGGTAGCTCGACCTCCACACTTCTTTGTTTAGAGAATGTTCATACCCCAACTATTCTGGGAACTATCAAAAACTTGCTTTAGCCATGTAAAAGCAACCATTACATTTTCTTTACTCATTATGACTAATCGCCATGAAAATAATAATTATATCATGAAAGATTGGCTATTTTGATCTGATTATGACGCAAAATACTCCACATGTATTCAGTCTTTGCTGTTTGTGGCTTACTAAGTTCAGTTGTATAATCCTAACTCTTTTAAAAATTTATAAGTCACTCTGCACAAGTTTCAAGGGAGCTGTGGAAAACTAAACAACTATTAAAACTTACTGTCTACATCATTGTTGATAAGCAGTAAAAGAGAGTTTAGCATGTTGCAATGCTGTACATTATTAGAGGTAAGCTTCATATTGAAAAGAGATTGTCCAATCAGAAACAAGTCATTCTTCTCACCTCTTCAAAGAGAAAATCATGTTGTTCATCCTGTAGTTTTAGTACTGAAAGGTCATTCTGATTTCTGCCAATGAATGGAAGGGAACAACCAAGTCAGAGAAATGAGTAAGGGCTTCTAACTCACAGAGAGATTAAAGAAAAAGTAGTTCCATATATTTAATGTAAGAGTATAGCTAAGGTGCTGGGCCCCTGATTTTACAGATGAGGAAACTGAGGCACAGGAAGGTTAAGAGACTTACCAAAGGTCATACAAATAGTAAGCATCAAAGGGAGAATTTGAGTACAGGTCCTCTGCCTCAAGAGTCAGTATTATGTTCAGTTAGTTTAATTTTTATTGTTACTGTTTTAAGGTAGTGAGTATAAAAGTCTTTCTCTCCCCCTCCACTTCCCTCTTCTTCTGTCCTCTTTCCCTCCTTCTCTCTCTCCCCTTTCTCTCATCCTTCTATATGATCAAGCCACATCACCTGACAAAAGTTCCAAGTACTGTCTTATTGTATTGAAATGGTTTGAAATTCTTATAGTCTACAAGACTGTTGGCATGGAAATCACTTGGTATGCTGTCAAAGCACCATCAACAAAGTTTTAATGGCAAAATGTTTTTGCTTTTTAGGATGAGGGAAGGAGAGAGGAAAAATTATACAAGTGAATACAGAACTTTTAATTCTTATATTGGAGCCTTAGAAACAGTCATTTCTCTATTTGCCCCCAAGATAATTTATTTCATTTTGCCATATGTTGGCATCTTGGAAGAGGTAAATAGACTTGCAGGAAAAAAAATGTGAGGGTGAGCAAGTAAACCCTCCTTCAAAATGAAGAAAAATTCACCCTCATGATAGTCATCAAATTTATTTTTTTTGTACTTTTTGGAATCTTCCAAACTATTTGGAAAAAAGTGTAGAACTATTAGCAACACATTTATCTCTTCATGCATGTTTGTGCTAATGTAGCAAATTTGGGTTCCAGCTGATCTAAAAATTCAAGCCCTTCTTCTTCATGGCGCTCACTGCAACACCCTACAGAACCAGCTGTGGAGCCTCTTCCTTCATAGTTATATGTAAGAACATAGTCTTGAGCATTGGTGTTGTCTTCATTCTGGTTGCAGAGATGCAATTTCTACAAAGTAAGAAAACACATTTTATTATTTTTAAAGAGGCACCTAAGTAGATTAATGTAAAAATTATTTTTATTTACCTTTGATTGCTTAATTTTTAACCAGAGTGTGTCCTCTAATGGATTCCTACACACAAAAAATGTACATGGTTGGCCTGTATCATAAGCATACTATAAAATCAACATTTAGCAGATCTATAGCAATCATGCAGTTAGAAGGTTGTGCACAAATGTGTTCTTCATAATCATGTTTCCATCAGGAAATTACAACTAAAAGCAGTATTTGCTCACGAAATGTAGGTAGAACCAGGACTCAGATCTTTGCAGTTTTGGTTCAGTACATTTGGTAAATAATCTAGAACTATATCTCTGTACATCAAAATCAAGTTCCCCCAAACAATTAGCAACAATGGAAAATTTTTCCACATAGTTCAAATGAAATCAATGAAATTACAAGAAACACAAAACGAAGTTCATTTGAAGGTTATACATTTTGAAAAGAAGTCTCTGTCTCAATCCTCCTGTTCTTTGTCTACCAAATTTCCTTGTCCATAATTGGTACTGATTTGCAAAACTTTTGCTGTAAAGTGCCATTCTTCCCACCCAACCACCAGAAGCTTTCCCAAAGAATAAGCTTCCAAGTGTATTGAACCAAAGAACCACAGGTAAATGGTTCCACTATCCTACCCTCTTTCCAATTTGAGCTTAGAGTTACCTTGTGACATGAAAACCAGATTCACAAAAAACAAAGAAAACCAGGCCTAGACTTGTATTTACCCACAATAGGCAATAGATCAATGATAAGTCATAAATCCTTCCTATCTCAGGTAAAGATCCAAAAAAGATTAAGGACTTTGCGGTATATGAATAAAAAAATGATCAAAGCATTGGAAATCTTAGAGAGAGAAGAAAGTGGTTAGAATATCTCTTCTTTTTTCATTCTCTATTCACCTCTCAAAGCCCTATATTGGTGTCATGAACTTGTTTGGAGAGAGGGAGTACAGACAGTAAAACACACAGACTTAAGGAGTCTGTGAATTTTAAATATGTGCTTTTTTCTAAATTCTACTTGATTAAGTGACTTTGTACAGCGAAACACTTAAATGATATAAAAGAGTTTTAATGGGTGACATTAGATATGCTAATGGTACTGAAGACACATATTAAGTGAAATGTAATGGATAAAATAAAATCTGTTTCTGACTAAACATAAATAAATATACACTGAAAATACAGAATAACTGTTTCCCAAAATATAAATTTAGTTTAGCCTATTATTACAAGTCTACCATTCAGTACATGTATGCATATATACTTATGTATACACATGTGTATACACACATATTATATATGTATATTTGTATAAATATGTGTGTGTATATATAGAGATCTCTATATATAGTCAATATATACACATATAGATATATGGATATAAATATCCATATATCTATATATACACACTCATATATATTCTCAAAACTTCTAATACAAACATTATAGCCTGGAGACTACCCAGAAAACTCACTTCACCAAGACGTGGTTGAGTATAATTGTGCCACTCAGAGTATGTATATCTGCAGGTATCAACTTCAACATGTCCTCCACTCCTGCATGAATCCAGTGTGTGATGTCCTCCTCGACAGGATTCCAGAGTGTGATGGCCTCCTCCTCCTCGACAGGATTCCAAGGTCTGATGTCCTTTCATCATTTCAAAGCATTCCTGTCCCCCATTTTTAATTCCTGATCCCAAAGTGCCACAAAAACTTTGGCCATTACCATTAAGCATCTGTGTAGCAAATCCATTTGTGGAACACTGAAAGAAAATAGAGCTATTTATGTCATGTGATCAAGGAATGCAACGTATGATGACAGGTGCAAAGGAAAGAGGAATACATTGGTTTGCAATAATATTTAGGTAATTAAACTTTACTATTTGTACCCTAGGATGTGTTATGAAATGAAATTCATTGTAAAGCAGGTCTGTCCTTAGCATTATTTCGATAAAAGTTAATCATATATTACAGTGAGAATTAGGGATACAGTGATAAAAAATGACAATCTGTGCTGACAAGAAGTTTGCATTCTGCTGTAGGGAATGGTGGGAGTGAATGTTACATAACACGTATGCAGATAAATAGAATACAAGCTGTGAAGTGACAGAGTCAGGAGCAATCTAGTCAAAGTACTTCACAAAAAGTGGACAGGGAAGAGAACTCTTTCATTTGGGAAAAATGGAAGGGTAGGAGGAGGTGGCACCTAAACTGAGAGATAAGAAGAGCTATGCATCCTAAATGTTGGGGTAGCTAGGTGGTGCAGTGGATAGAGTGCTAAAGTCAGGAGAAGACTCCTCTTCGTGAGTTCAGATCTGGTCTCAGACTCTTACTAGTTTTTGTGAGCCTGGGCAACCCATTTAACCTTTTTTGCTTCAGTTTCCTCACCCGTAAAACTAGCTGAAGAAAATAGTAAACCACTGGAATATCTTTGCCAAGAAAGCCCCAAATGGGGCTGCAGAGTCAGACACAACTGAAACAATGGACCAACAATCTCCTTAAGTGATTTTGCTCCATTCTGTCTCAGATTGTGCTATGGGAAGGCTCTTTTGCAGGGAGAGGAGTAGAGAAAGGCTATTATGGTGATACTAGAAATAAAAAGTATCAATGAAAGCTTATTTGAAAGAAGTGAGCTTTTGATGGCACTACTTTCACATTTTTTTCTAGGCTTATAAATATCATTATAAAAATCTCCCTGGAGCTGCCAAGTTGATTTAGTGTAGCAACATTTGAAAATAATGATCAACAATAGTGGTATGCTAGGAAATGTCAAATAATCAGCTCTCCAGAAAAAATAATTGTTCAGCAAGATACTATTTTTACATTTAATTCGCATTAACATTTTCTCCATTACTTTCTTAGTTTTAGACAATTAAGAAAACAATAAACCAAGACCTAATTTGTAGCACTGATTGATTTCTGAGGTATAAATTCACTGAAAATTTAATAATTTACGACTCATATTGAAAATTTAGCAGTTGGTAATCTGGTTCCAACTGACTCCAGCACAACCCTGAATCATATACACAATCTACATCATTGTCAAATAATGGATGTTAAGCATCAACCTTGTCTATTACCTTCTATTTTTTTTTTCTATTAGTCTCTCTTCTCCCTGAGGGTTCATACATTTGATAGTTACATGATAACACCTCTATGCAGATGATTGAAATTTCTATATTTTCCTTTCTTACCACTTACCCAAGGTCTGGTGTGGTATCTTCAAGTAGATATTTGTTACTCAGTCATTTTAAACTCAGCACATCTAAAACTCAAGTTGTTACCTTCTGCCGTGGAAAAATTGCTCTAAATATTTGTTTTAAAAGAGCATTAATGTTTCATTTACTTTTTTGCTTTAATTCATTTCCTGGGATAAGTTGTATTTGTAACTCTCGTTTTCTCTATATGCTTGCTTTTGATTATATTATCCTCTTCCATGGGTTCAATGACCAGTTCATGAGATAGTGAAGGGTAGTGGATAAGCCACTAAAGACTTGGGTTCAAATCTCAACTCAGCCACTAGCTGTGTGATCTTGGGCAAACCATTTTCCCATTTCTAAAATCAGAGGTTTGGACTTAATGTCCTCTAAGGTCCCTCACACTTCTCAAATGACTCCAAAATCTATATATCAAGACCATTCTCTTAAACTCCAGCTTCACATCTCCTTTTTCCTGGTGACAATTTCCACTTCAATGTCATAATGAACATTAAATTCATTTCTCAAGCTGAACATCACCTTTTTCAACTATATCTGGCTCTCAATCCAAATTCCCTATTCTTTAGACAATACCACCATTTTTTTTCAATTATCCATGCTCAAAATCTTTGGGCATTCTTTAAGTTTTCCTTTTCCTATACCCTATACATCCAATCAATTGCCCAGTCTCACTGATTCTATCTCCATAGCCTCTCATGTTCTTCCTCCTTCTCTCCACTCACAATGATACCACTCTAATTTAGACCCTAATGTTCTCTTGTATTGATATAATGCTCCTGATCAGTCTCTACTCCCTGTAGTCTCGCCCTTTTCTAACTTATCCATTCAAATGCCAACCTAATTTTACCAAAACTTAAGTCAATATACACTGCTGAAAAAACATTAGTGACTCCCTAAGGACAAGAGCTAATCTGTACAGCCTGGAATTTTAGGCTATGTTACAGCCAAACAGAATATGAATATATAATAAAATAAATATAAAATATATTTACATATTACACAACTATATATTATATAATGTATAAATATGTATGCATATGTGTACACATACATATATACATGTATATACACATAGATACACCAATGTACATATATATGTGCATGCGTGCACACACACACACACATATATATCCCCCAAACCCAACATTCTTCCATAAGGACTGACCCACAAGCCGGGACACATTCCCTGCTCACCAGGACCTTTCAGGATAGCCAACTTCCTCCAAAGTTCAGCTTAGATGCCACCTCCTCCCTGAAGTCTTCCTTGAACTCTTGAGCAAAAGATCTCCTTGAACTCTTGAGCAAAAGATTTTTTCTTTCTCAAATGTTCCCACATGACTTTGTCAGGAGCTCTCATTTTCTTATACAATAGTTTAAAACAGTATGTGAGAAATGTATTGAATCACTCTTAGGTCTTTCATTTCCTTAAATATTATTTTTTATTTCATATTCTACTTTGAAATGTTTCTAAAACTTCTAGTTTATCATGATTTTTAACTTTAAAACTATAAAAGAGCCATAATTTCATCAGTGGGCATATGCCCTCCATACCTTAGTAGATAGTCTCTAGGAGTTATTATGCCTAAAAATAAATTACCTGGTAACTAATTTTCTGATAGTAAGTGCCTCAAAATTTAGACAGACAGGCTTCTCCATGATACACAGTCTTGTCACTAGTCCCAGATACTTTTCAGCTTTGTAGGCCCTGCAGCCAGCAACTATAGCATTCCAAAGTTTGGCATCACCTTCATGCCATAATGAACTACTAGGTTAGGACTTTAGAGGAGGAATTAAACATGAATATTAGTTATTTTAAGAAGTTTTTAAAGTCTAATTGAATGGGAAAGCATAGCATGTTTTCTTGGGTAGACAAACCTAGAATTGATCTACCTTATTGTAAACAACACATAGAGAGGCTAAGATATTACTGTTTTATATGTGGGTTCAATATACCAGTTAAGCATAAGCATAGAAGAAGGGGGGAAAAAAAACAACATTTTCCATTGTGGTCAACCCTACTATATTAATGTAATGACAAATAAACTCCACAAACTAATTCTTCTCTTTCTTTCAGTAATACAAACATTCAAGTAGGTATGAAACCTTGGGCAGCCTCTTTGAGCCCTTTCTTTCCTTTAACCCTCAGATCTCCACTAATCACCAAGACATGTCAGTTCTTCATTTGAAACTTCTCACATCTGTGTCTAATCTCTTGTAAAATCCTGCTGACACAAGAAAGAGAAAGTAATTGACTGAAGATAGGTTAAAGGGCAGAAATACTCAATTCTGATTTTGTTTCTGTGTTCTGTACCAAGGAGAATGATCAGTATATCAAGTTGGGCCTAACAGAAGATTAGCCACAATGACAGAGAAAAGATAGGGACTCACCTGAGTTCTCTCCCAAACTTCTCCAACTGCCTTTAAATAATGCTTTAAAAGAAATTCTAGAGTAGCAGAACCCACAAAAGGATGTAGTGAAACAATTTTCCAGGCTAAGACAACTTAGAAGTTCAGTAGAAAAGGTTTGTTGCACCAGGGTGAGAGTAGAATGCAGACCAGCACAGACTGGGCCCCAGAAAATGAGGAGCAGGCCTTGGAGGTGACCAGCAGTGGTGGTTTCCAGACCTCTCAGCTCACAGATGGTAAGGGGGTAAGACAACTGGTCAAAAGGTGATTACAGGGGTCCCTTTGCTGGTACTGTTGCATTGCCCATACTTGGATCTGGGTCACAATCCTAGGTATCAGTCTTGGGGCAAAGAGAAGCACTTGCACACCAGAGTTTGTGGCCACAGGGGAGCCAGTACCTGGTCACAGTTCCAGGGTGGAAAACAGTGTTTATGGTTACTCACAGACTGGTGCACAGTACAGGAGAGTAACAAACACATCTCTCCCTAGATCATACCAACCTGGAAGAACCAAAAACTTATAAGTTCCCAGAATTACCTCTAAAAACAGCTGCACCACAAAACCCAAAGCTTAGGACAGTGTCTCTTCCATTCTGGAAGCAGGGCCCCACTTTAGCATAGAGTTAAAAGTCAACAAATAGGCTGGAAAATTAGCAAACAGCAAAAAAAAGAGATCCTGACTACAGAAAGTTACCGGGGCAGCTAGGTGGTACAGTGGATAGAGCACCAACCCTGGATTCAGGAGGACCTGAGTTTAAATCCGGCCTCAGACACATAACACTCACTAGCTGTGTGACTCTGGGCAAGTCACTTAACCCCAATTGACTCAAAAAGAAAAAAGTTACTATGGTGACAGGGAAGATCAAAACAGAAACTCAGAAGAGATAACAAAGTCAAGATTCTTACATCCAAAGCCTCAAAGGAAAACATGAATTGGCCCTAGGCCATGAGGGAGCTCAAAAAAAGGATTTTAAAAGTCAAGAGAGGTAGAAGAAAAATTATTAAGAGATATGAGAGTGATGCAAGAAAATCATGAAAAAAGAATCAACAGCTTGGTAAAGGAAGCACAAAAAAAAATACTGAAGAAAACAACACCTTAAAAAACAGAATAGGGCAAATCTAAAAGAAGCACAAAAATCCAATGAAGAAAAGAATGCCTTGAAAAGCAGAATTGGGCAAATGGAAAAGGAGGTACAAAAGCTCACTGAAGAAAATAATGCCTTAGAAATTAGAATTGGGCAAGTGGAAGCTAATGACTTTATGAGACACCAAGAAACAATAAAACAAAATCAAAAGAATGAGAAAAATAGAAGACAACGTAAAACATCTCATTGGGAAAACAACTGAGCCGGAAGATAAATCAAGGAGAGATATTGTTAAAAAATTACTAGACTATCTGAAAGACATCATCATTCATGAAATTGTCAAGGAAAACTGCCCTGATATTTTAGAACCAGAGGGTAAAATAGAAATTGAAAGAATCCACCAATCACCTCCTAAAAGAGATCCCAAAAGAAAACTCTTAGGAATATTGTAGTCAAATTCCAGAGTTCTCAGGTTAAGAAGTAAATACCACAAGCAACCAAAAAAGAAACAATTCAAATATTGTGGAGCCACAGTCAGGATAACACAAGATTTAACAGCTTCCAAGTTAAAGGATTGGAGGGCTTGGATTACAACATTCTGGAGGGCAAAAGAGCTAGGATTACAACCAAGAATCATCTACCAAAAAAAACTGAGTATGATCCTTCAGGGGGAAAAAATGGACACTCAATTAAAAAGAAGACTTCTAAGCCCTCCTGATGAAAAGACCAGAGCTGAATAGAACATTTGACTTTCAAATGCAAGACTCAAAAGAAGCATAAAAAGGTAAACAGGAAAGAGAAATCATGAGGTATTCAATAAGGTTAAAATGTTTATATTTCTATATGGGAAAAAGAAATTTATAACTCCTAAAAACTTTCTTATTACCAGGGCAGTTAGAAGGAGTACACATAGAAAGCACGATGTGAATTGAATATGATGGAATGATTATCTTTAAAAAATTAAAGGGTGAGAAAGAAGAATACAATGGGAGAAACAGAAAGGTAAAGGTGGAATGGGATAAATTATCTGGCATAAAAGAGGTATAAAAGAGATTTTACAGTGGAGGGGAAGATGCAGGAAAGGTGGAGGGGAGCTCATGAACCAAATTCTCATCAAAACTGACTCAAAGAGGGAATAGTATATATACTCAGTTGAGTGTAGAAATCTATCTTAGCATATAGTAAAGTAGGAAGGGAAGGGGGTAAGAAAGGGGGGTAATAGAAGGCAGGGCACATTGGGGAAGGTAAAAGTCAGAAGCAAAACACTTTTGAGAATGGACAGAGTGAAAGGAGAGAGTAGGATAAACAGAGGGGAAATAAGATGGAGGGAAATACATAGTAATCATTACTGTGAAAAAAAATTTACAGCAAGTGTCTCTGATAAAGACATCATTTCTTAAATATATAGAAAACTGAGTCAAATTTATAGAATTAAGTTCCATTCCTCAATTGACACATTGTCAAATGATACGAAAAGACAGTTTTCAGAAAAAGTAATCAAAACTATCTATAGTCATGTGAAAAAATGCTCTAAATCACTATAGATTAGAGAAGTGCAAATTAAAACAACTCTGAGCTACCACCACATACCAATAAGATTGGCTAATATGACATAAAAAGAAAATGACAAATGCTGGAGGAGATGTGGGAAAATTAACACACATGCACTATTAGTAAAGTTGAATATTGATTCAACCATTCTGGAGAGCAATTTGAAAGTATGCCCAAAGGGCTGTAAAACCATGCAAACCTGTTGATTCAGCAATACCACTAGTAGGTGTGTATTCCAAAGAGATTTAAAAAAAAAAAAGGAAAAGAATGCATAGGTACAAAAATATTTATAGCAGCTCTTTTCATGGTGGCAAAGAATTGGAAATTGAGAGGATGTCCATCAACTGGGGAAATGGATGAACAAATTGTTGTATATGGTTGTGATGAAACACTATTGTGCTATAAGAAATGACAATCAGGATGCTCTCAGAAAAAAAAACTAGAAAGAATTACATGAACTGATGCAAAGTGGAATGAGCAGAACCAGGAGAACATTGTACAGGGTAACAGCAATATCGTATGATGATCTATTGTGAATAGCTTAGCTATTGTCAGCAACACAATGGTGTAAGACAATTATGAAGGACTTAAAATGAAAGGTGCTGGCCCTCTCCAGAGAAAGAACTGGTGGACCCTGAATGTAGATCAAAGATACCTTTTCTTTCATTTTCCTTGGGTTTTTTGTCTGTTTTCTTTCACAGCATAGCTTACACAGAAATGGGTTTTGCATAACTACACATATAATCTATGTCAAATTGCTTGGCAAATTTAGTTGATAAATATTGTATGTGTTCTGACTACTCCATCTACCAGCCATTTTCTCCCTACCTCTTCTCAGGCTTCCCTACTCCCTGAGACACAACAATATTGAAATAAGGCCAATTAATAACCCTACAATGCCTCTAAAAGTTCAATTGAAAGGAAAAGTCAATGGGTGGAGCAAACTTCATTGTTGTCTTATTTTAAGAAATTGCCACACTCATTCCAGCATTCAGCAACCACTACGTTTATCATTCAGCAGACATCAACACTGAGGCAAGACCTTATACCAGCAAAAAGATTATGACTGACCCAATGCTCAGGTGATAGTTAGTATTTTTTACAATAAAGTATTTTTTAATTAGAGTATGTACCTTGTTTTTAGACATAATACTATTGTACACTTAATAGACTACATTATAGTATGAATATAACTTTTATATGCACTGGGGAAGCAAACAATTCATATGACTTACTTCATTGTGAGAATCACTTTATTGTTGATGGTCTGGAACCGAACTTTCAATATCTCCAAGGTATGCCCATACACAGTCCTACCTTCCTTCACTGAACTCTTTGCACATTCATTCGCCTTACAGCATTCAATCATACATTCATTGCCTCATGTTGACATTCCCTAGTTTCATGATGATACAACCTGTATCTCCATGTAAGTTTAAAAATCCATGAAAGTAGAAAGTATGTTTCATGTTTCTTTTGTACCACTGATAGCATGTAGTACTGTCCTGATCATATAGTAGGTATTCAATAAACATATATTTTATTATATAGGAGATGCTTTGAATCCTATAAGAAAAAAGGCTATATACTCATATGTATGCCATCTCTTATCATGTGTTATTAGGGAATTTGGGAAGGGTTGTCCTATGTTTAAAGAGAAGGGTGAAAGGACTTAAAAAGACATTTCTAGGATAAATGAACCATAAAGAGTTCAATTTTCCCTGAAACGCTTTCTGCCAGTAGAATGAACAAAGTAAATTAAGCGCTTTTTTTAAAATAGAAAGGTATCATTATCATCTGGTCAACAATCAGACAAAACATGTTCAGCTCTTTTACCTAAAACACTTTTATTGCTTAAGAAGACACAATCCCAAGTAGTAGGTTTAAAATCATAAGCACGGAAAGTTTCCCTCAAAATTACCTTATATCCTATTATGTATATGTGTTTTATATACCTATATATCTATATGTTGGTTTCCCAAGCTACATGGTAAGCTCCTTGAGAGCAGAGACTATTTTCACCCTTTTCTTTGTATTTTTCTTTGGCCCTAGCATACAGAATGTACTTAATAAGTGCTTACTGATAGATTGATTACAGTAGAAAACTGATTAGTAATGTCTCTTAATTATGCCACTGCAACTATGTCAAAATTTAATGCTGTCATCAACAAATGCTTTCCGAATATTCTTCTGTTATCTAACAAGGCACCCGATGCTATTAAAAAAAAATTTTACTGACATCAAAATTTCTTTATGGGAAGAAGCAAAGTCTTACATCATCATCATCATCATCATCATCATCATCATTATCAAAACAATCCATTCATGATTAAAGATTTGTTCCTAAAAGCACATTACTTACCACTCTGTCATCTCCAGGAGCTTCTGTGTTTGATATAATTAAATTTTGCTGAGCCATGTCATCAGGAAAAGGTTTTTTTACTTTTGAGGGACTCCAAATTCCACAGACTAAGGTGAATAAGACACCTAGGTGAGGAACAGAATCATTTGAGTTTAATATGCAAAACAGGAAGTACAGGGTATGTATAGTGATTATTTGTTCAGCTGATTATTTTAGATCCTTGTATCAATTCTTCATTTTTCCACTTATGAATTAACTGGATACGATTGAAGAATATCATCAAGTGCGGTTTTTTTTTGGGGGGGGTAGGCAATGGGGTTAAATGACTTGCCCAGGGTCACACAGCTAGTTAAGTGTTATGTGTCTGAGGCTGGATTTGAACTCAGGTCTTCCTGAATCCAGGGCCAGTGCTCTATCCACTGTATCACCTAGCTGCCCCTTCAAGTGTGTTTTAAGTGGTTTCTTTCAGCCACTCCAAATTGACCAAACCCAAGCTAACTTAGGTTTCAAAATCCGCAGTCCAATGTATTTACATGAATTTAAGCATTCTCTCATAGAACCGAAGTCTAATAGAACCTCCACAAGAAAAAGGATATAAACTTAGGGCAGCATATAAAATTTACACTCTTCACAATTTCTATTTAGGGAAGAGGTTTTTTTCCCCCCAAATATCCTAATGAATACAAAAAGTATAAATTGTTTCTATGCATACAAGGCAAAGAAAGATCATTCTATCCTGAATAAATGTTCTTGATCTATCTCTTCATTAAAAAATACTACATCATTTCTCCACTGTTAAAGATTTAAGTTCTATGTCAAATCTTTATATGGCTGCAAAATACAAAAGGATCAAATTATACATTTCTATTAATACATGGTGTCCCTAAAGTTTTAGTGCATTTTAAAGCTTTAATAGCATAACCATGCACTAAGACTTCTGAGATACCCTATACATATTTAATATATACTCACATTTTAAAAGAAAAATGTAATTGCTTTTCATGGAGTCCTACTCTGTTGCCTCCTTGTGGTATAAGATAAAACTAGGCTCTCAAAGAATAGGAAAATAGAGCTTAATCTCTGATAGATTCTACTATTCTGGAGAGTCTTCAAGCAGACACCTAACAATGGTCTGAGCTCTGCATTCTGAGGACCAACCTAGTTAAGCAGAAAGGAGCTTATCATCAAGTAAGCTGATTACTTAGTGATAATTTTTTTTTGCTATAGAAACCAGTGAAATGGAGAAAAACACAAATTACATTTATGCATATGTATATGTATCCCCGTGTATGGAACTCAACACAAGCAAAGCCAAAGTGATAACATTTTTGAAGGCCTTATATAATGGTGATTTTCATCCTGGTTCCTAAATATTAGTATAAAAGATATTTACTTAAAAGTTGTACAGTGCAAAGAGGAGGAGCCTTGCAATTAGAAGCCCTGGACTCAATCCTCAGCTCTATCACCTGCTAGCAGCCCGACCTTTAGAAAGTCGCCATTTCTAAAGGTCCAGATTTATCACTGATAAAAGTGGTATGATTTTCCCTCACAGGGTTGATGTGAGGAAGATCATTTGTAAAATATAAAGCCCTATATTCTGATAGTATGTCATTGTCACAGAATCTCTGGGTTTGAAGGAATCTCAGAGACCATCTAGTCCAACCAGCATCATTATTATGTTCAACTAAACAAAAAGACTTACAAAATAGTAATGCTACACCCAATAATATTGCAAGGATGGCCCATGTGCCCAGTCTTGTGTCTGGATACACTGCTTTCTCAAATTTACATTGTTCTGGATGAATACAATCACAGAGATTAACATGCAACATCTTTGTTGATGACATTCCGTGTCTATCACTCACAGTGATAGGAATGGAATATTTTCCAAATTGAGCATTATTCTGATATGAAAGACGTGCAGATGTATCTGAAAGAAAATAAAAAGCCACAGTTACATTCACTGTTGCTCATCCTTTTATCACTCTATATTTTTCATCACAATTGTCTATAATCAGACCCCTGTTGAGCTGTGTCATCATTCAATGACTTTTATTGAGTGCTTAACCTATATAACTCATTTTCCTAGGCAATAAGGTATAGAGAGGAGAATAAGGCACAGTCTCTGCCTGCAGGGAGTTTAGACTCTAAGAAGAGAAATGAAACAAAGGCAAAAATAACAGTAATACAAAATAAAGTATGCCAAGTACATAGAAGAGGTGCAAATAAATAAGCCTTAGGAGAAATTTAAGAAACTTCTGGCCAGTGGTAGGTCACAAGAAAATTCCATGGAGAAAATGGTAATTGAGCTGGGCCATTAAAAATACATAGTTTTTCTAATAGGTAAACATTAGGGATGGGGAAGAGGAGTGAGAGAAGTGTATTTGAGGCATAGAAGATTTGATGAACATTGAATGAAGGTAGAAAATGAGAGGATGAAGTGAGGGATTAGTGATTCATGCAGTTTGCCAGGAAAGACTATGTGAAAGGATTGTCTGAGATAAGTCTAAAAAGGTGGATTGGAACTGGATTACAAGAATGTCTATAATATGACACTAAGGAATTTAGTCATTATTGGGTAGAAAATTGAGAAGCATGAGCAAAAGAATGATACAATAAAAACTATTTTAGTTAAATTTCCATAAATGCTTAAATCATAATATAACTGTCTTTACCTAGAACTCTAGCTACAAATAACTGCAAACAAAACAGTCTTATTTGTATCTTTCTATAGACTATCTCTGTGAAAATCTACTACTAAGCCCAAAATACCAACATTTCACCATATTTGTCTGCTAGAACAATCCATAGCTTTCAGCATGTTTAGAGAAATTAACAAAATACTGAGTACCTTTCAGTCTTGGAAAGTTTGCCACCAAAAATTGCATAAGTTGTTATTATATTCACATATTATGGCAAACATATTTTACTTTTCTAGATAACTTAGTATTAGAAAAATGACTATACTTCAGAGCTTCATTATTCAAAACTTCATTCTCATGTGATGAACACATGCATACATACACATGTGGGTTCGTATATATTTTGATATGTAGACATAGTTGACATTATCAAGGCTAGTTGTGATGTTGAAAACTCTGGCTTTATGCCATTAGAGAAATATAGCATCACATATTTGTTACCATCAATTGTTTTCAAGAATTTCACTCTAGATTATTCACTCATTCGTTACCTATAACTAAAAGATTCATAGGTTTCCATGAAATAGCTTTGTGATATTTTGGGTAACTCTGAAACAAATCATCAGAAACAATTTAAATATAATTCTTCATTCTGTGCTACTGATAATGATTTTGGAGATATGCTGATATAGAATGGCAACTAATATTAAATAAGGGCAATAAAGTAGTTTACTACCTTGGAAAGTGATTAACAACTAATACTTGCCACTGGTTAAGTTCTAAAAGAACTGGAAGTTTAGGCAGAAACTATGCGAATAGTTTAGCTATGGCTGATATTCTAAGAAAAATCAAAGAATTTTAGCATTTGCATGGATTAGGAGGTTATCAAGTCCAACCCATATCTGAAAAGGAAAATCTTCCACAAAATCCTTGACGAGTACTAAGTCAAACCTTCAAATCACTAGTGCTAGGAAACTGCAAGGCAGCCCATTCTACTTTAAGACAGCTCATATTTTTAGGAGTTTTTCCTTGACATTTAACAAAAATTATCCATGGAAACTTCTACCCATCGCTCCTAATTTTGTTCTCTGTGACCAAGGGTGGGGTGGGGAACAAGTCTAATCCCTCTTTCATATAACAGTACCTCAAACACCAAAACCAGAATTCATCTCTCCCTCTACAGCCTATCCTCTTTCTGTCTTTTCTGTTATTGCTGAGACCACCACTATTTCAGCACACAGTCAGTTACCTAGGTGTCAGCCTTGCCTCTCCATACTCAAACTCATACTCAATTCATTATCAAATCTTGTCATTTCTACCTTTATGATATCTCCTATATGTCCTGTTATTTGCACTTGTACAGCCAAAACCCTGGTGCTTCATCATCTTCCATTAACTATTGTAATGGGGACCAAGGACGCTGGTGGGGGAAGGGGCAGGAAATGCATCATCACTCCCCCTTACACCTTTTACTTTCTCTCTCTGCTCCCTTACAGACCCTTCTATGAAGTCCACATGAAACCATCCGCCGTTCGCTGAGCCTTCTCCATCACCCTTCCCCCACGGGCTCTGGACTGATTTCCGGCAGGTACGGGACAACCAGGGAGTTTTCTGCCGGAGCAGAGTCTCCTCGTGGAACTGCTGGAGCTTCAGGCCCACAAGTAAGGAGAAGCGGCAGGGTGGTACCACTTCGAGGCCCTGGGAGGGGTGCAAGGGTCAGGGGGCAAGCAAGCAGAGGCTGTACAGCCCCTCTCCTCCCACACTTTGTCCCTTCGGGGCTTCCGGGATGCCTGGGTCCTCTGCGGTCGGCAGCATATGGCCAAGGAAAATGAGGCTGATGAAGAGGATGTGATCTTACACCTGGCACTGTTCCAATTGCCCCCAATATCAGACTGACTTTCAACCAGCCTGTCTCTGGCAGCAGGCCAGCCCATGGACATGAAGCCCAGGGCCTCCCACCCTGGACCCTGGTTGACTTTGAAAGGCTAGTGACTTCCTGACGCTTCTTGACCCCAGCATCTTTGGTGCCCGGAAAAGATCCCGAACTGCCCTCTGCTGCTGGCGTCTGAATGTCTGGATTCCCCAACAGAAGCAAGGGGTTGATAGTTGGCATTCCCCCCCCCATATCTCTGCTGCACATACACAGACATAAGGCACCACCTTTGCAGAAATAAACTTGCTTTATAGCAAAAAAAAAAAAAAAGAAAAGAAAAGAAACTGCTATTGCAATGGACCTCTGGTTGATTTCCCTGCCTCAAATCTTTCCCCACCTTAACCTATCTTCTACTCAGAAGCCCAAGTTTAGTTCTGAACATACATCTGTGTGTGTCTGTCTGTCTCTATCTCTGTCTCTCTCTCCCTTTCCTGTATGTTTCCTGAGACCAGAATCTGTGTTGTACCTCTCTTTATACTCAACACATCAGGCTTCTAGTAAGCATGAAATTGAGTTGTAGATCATGTACCATTCAGTCTGGTGATTGTCCATATTTTCTGGATTTCAGGAGAACCACGTCCTAATTTGAAATCAAACGGAGGCCCATTTATGGGATCATCAGGATCAACAGCAACGACTGTTGTATGTACCATCTTTGGTTTGCAAAGTACTATATTCTCTTCAAGGATGACTGGAGCATTGTCATTCACATCTTCAAGGATAATTCCAAGGGTACCAGTACATGTTTTACCATCTAGGAAAATTAGAGAAAATGTCAATGTAGCTTTTACTCTTGTATTCATTCCTGGTGGTAATCAGCTTCCATTTTAAATCCTAATCACCTAGAATCTTAAACCTTTTATTTCATCTGGGAGCTTGTATCCCACCCCCCACTCTCACTTTTATCTTATGCAGCTGTTTGTGTCTCCACAGAGTAACAAGACTTTATGAAAAGAAACAAAGACTTAGATGATAATGCAGTAAACACATTAGTTATATAAATTTAAAATATATCATTTGAGTTGACCACTATTCTAAATCACTTCAACTTTTACCACTGAAGTAGCTACTTTCTGATTGAGTGGTGAAGGAAACTAGCAAGGACATTATAGCAATATATCACAAGGATCATACACTATAACCAGCTGGAGTTTACAGTAGGAATGTAGGACTGGTTCAATATTAGGAAAACTATCAGCATAATTGACCATATCAATGACAAAACCAACAGAAATCATATGATTGTCCCAACAAATGTGGAAAAAAACCTTTGAGAAAATACAATACCCATTCCTATTAAAAACACAAGAGAATATAGGAATAAATTGAGCTTACCTTAAAACGATAAGTAATATTTATCTAAAAGCACCAGCAAGCATTACTTGTAATGGGGATAAACTAGAAGCCTTCTTAATAAAATCAGGGGTGAAGCAAGATGCCCATTATCACCACTATTATTCAATATTGTACTAGAAATGCTTAGCTATAGCAATAGGAGAAGAAAAAGAAATTGAAGAAATTAGAAGAGGCAATGAGGAAACAAAACTATCATTCTTTGCAGATGATATGGTGGTATACTTGGAGAATCCTAGGGACTCAACTAAAAAAGCTGTTTGAAATAATTAACAACTTTAGCAAATTTGCAGGACACAAAATAAACCCACTTAAATTGTCATATTTCTATATATTACCAACAAGGTTCAGAAGTAAGAAATAGAAAGAGAAATTCCATTAAAATAGCTACAGACAATATAAAATACTTGGGAGGCTACCTGCCAAGACAGATCCAAGAACTATATGAACATAATTACAAAACTTTTTTTTACACAAAGTCAGATCTAAACATTTAGGGGAAAAAGTAATAATTGTTGAGAGGTAGACCAAGACAATATAATAAAAATAACAAATATGTCTAAATCTACTTATTCAGTGCCAAACCAACCAAATTACCAAAAAAATTATTTTATAGAGCTAGAAAAAATAATAACAAAATTCATCTGGAAGAACAAAAAATCAAGAATATCAAGGGAATCAATTAAAAAATATTAAAGAAGGTGGCCTGGCAATACCTAGCAAAACAAGCTGGTATGGGCTAAGAAAGAGAGTGGTGGATCAGTAGAATAGATTACATACGCAATACACAATAGTAAATGACCACAGTAATCTAGTGTTTGATAAACCCAAAGATTCAAGCTTTTGGGACAAAAACTCATTATTTGACAAAAAACTGCTGGGAAAACTGGAAAAGAAACCAGGTATAGACCAACATCTCACACTATATACCAAGTTAAATTAAAATGTGTATATGATTTAGACATAAAGAGTAATAAGCAAATTAGCAGAGCATGGAATAGTGTACCTATCAGATCTATAGATAAGATTTAGGACCAAACAAGAGAGCATTACAAAATGTAAAATGGATCATTTTGATTATATAAAATTTAAAAGTTTTTGCACTAACATAACTAATGCAACCAAAATTAGAAGGAAAGCAGAAAACTGTCTCTGATAAAGGACTTACTTCTCAAATAAGTAGAGAACTGATTCAAATTTATAAGAACACAAGCCATTGCCTAATTGATAAATAATCAAAGGATATAAACAGAAAGTTTTTAAACAAAGAAAGCAAAGCTCTCTATAGTTATATTAAAAAAAAACTCTAAGCCAGTATTAATTAGAGAAATGCAAATAAAACAACTCTGAGGTACCACCTCACACCTTTCAGATTGCCTAATATGAGAGAAAAGGAAAAATGATCAATTCTGAAGGGGATGTGGGAGAACTGAGACACATGCACTATTGGTGAAGCTGTAAACTGATCTAATCATTCTGGAGAAAAATTTGGAACTATGTCCAAAGGGCTATAAAGCTGTGCATATCCTTTGATCCACTTCTAGGTCTATATCCCAAAGACATTTTTTAAAAAAGGGAAAAGGACCTATCTGCACAAAAATATTTATAGCAGTTCTTTTCATGGTAGCAAACAATTGGAAATTAAGGGGATGCCCATCAGTTGAGGAATGGTTGAACAAGTTGTGGTATATGATTGTAACGGAATAGTATTGTGTTATAAGAAAAGACAAGCAGAATGGCTTAAAAAAAAAACCCTGGAAAGATGTGCACATGAACTAATACAAAGTAAAGAGATCATAACCAGAAAAAAACATTGTATATAGTAGCAGCATTATTGTACAATGAAGAACTATAAATGACTTGGGTATTTTCAGCAGTGCAAGGATTCAAGACAATCCCAAAAAACTCATGATGAAAAATGCAATTCACCTCCAAGAAAGAACTTATGTTGTCTGAATACATCCTGAAGCATACCATTTTTCTCTTCTCTTTACTTTTCCTTCTTTTTTTTCTTCTTTCTTTCTTTTTGAGTCTTCTTGCACAAAATGACTAACATGGAAATGTTTTACATGATTTCACATGTATAATCTATATCAGATTGCCTACCCCTCAGAGAGGGTGAAGGGGAGGGAGGGATAGAATTTGGAACTCAAAACTTTAAAAAAAGAATGTAAAAATTATTTTTACATTGTAATTGGGGAAAATGTTTTTAAAAGAATTTTGAAGGAATACAAGCACATTTGGGGAATTAGAGGGAATGCCCCTATAATTCAAAATTCTTGTTTGAGCCTACCAATATCCCCCCCCCAAAAAAAATCCTCTTTTTGTCAGAACTTATTAAAGGCAATACTGAAGTTTATTTTGAACACTTTGTTCTGTTTTTTCCATTTCTACAAGCATTGTTAATAGGCACTTAAATGAACAACAGGAAGCCCATGGCCAGAGGGTGCCCTGGAAAAGCAAGTAATTTTGAAGATTAGTCTATAGCTGACCATTACCCTGGATAGGTGACACCTCATTTAGGATAATAACAATCTAAAAAGGTCTGCAAAGTAGTTAATAAACTGCTATGGATACTGTATTTTCTCTTCACCTTGCTGGTCTACTGAGATACAAATTACTTCCACATACTGTATAAAAGATATGTTTATGTAGTAATTCACTTCATAGGAGTAGAAGTACAGTATAAAAGCCCAGGATAAGTTTTAAATAATGTCAGGGATGGGAGTAGGAGAGGAAAAAAGGAGAAGATGGCATAGCTTCTATGGTGAAGTCATAGCTTTGGAAATAATAAGTGGTTTAGAGTTATGTCTCCTTATTTCCTTTTATCTTTTTTAATATAATACATGTAAAATGATGTATAAAATGTAAAACATTATAGGATGGTTGACTATAAAACATGTCAGGATATGCCTTATTATCAACACTTTTAAATGTGGGAAAATGTACATTTAAACTGCAATGTTCTTTTATTTTCAGTAGGCAACAAGTTGGTAGATGTTTCCCCACTCTGAAGTTCATTATACCAATGAAGTCACAGATCCAGTCCCCTATCCAGTTGCTATCTCTATTCAACAAGGTAGTGGAATATCTGCTAAGAAATATGAGCAGTCTTCTCATTTTGAGTCTTTAGTTTAACTATGCCTTTCATCCATAATCATGAGAAGGAACATTCTAAAGTAGTGTTTCTTAACCTAGGTCTACAAAACCATAGGTAGATTTCAAAGTTTATGGGGATGGGGAGGAGCTTGGACTTGGATCAGAAAAAAATTATATCTTTATTTTCACTGACCATTGGTTTTCTTTGCAATCCTTTGCATTTTATTTTGTCCATTTAAAAACACTATTCTACACCGGCCCTGAAGTCAGGAGGACCTGAGCTCAAATTCGGCCTCAGACCAAACGCTTGACACTTACTAGCTGTGTGACCCTTGGCAAGTTACTTCGCCCTGCCTAAAAAAAAATAAATTAAAAAAAAAGCGCTATTCTAACAAGGGGTCCATAGGCTTCACTATATTAGCAAAGAAGGTCTATGACGCACAAAAAGGTTAAGAATCTCTGTTAGGATGAAACCAGCCAGTAAACAATTAAGTGCAAAGCATTACATAGGACAATAGATAGCAATTTTCTTACTATCTTTTATCTGAAAAGTTTGTTATACCAGAAAGAAGATACCTTTTCAACTTAGTTTGCTGGCCGAAGTATAGAGAGAAAAAGCACTACAAGCTTTTAAAACACAGCTAATTAAAAGGAGAAAACTTTTTAAGCTAAAAAAATTCTTGTTTTCATTTCAAAAAGAAGTGACTTTATAAATCAAGGAATCAATTAACATTTATTAAGCACCTACTATGTGCAAGACATTGTGCTAAGCACTGGCAATATAGAAAGTGGCAAAAGACAGTCCCTACCATCAGAGAATGTACAATCTAATAGGAGAGACAACATGTAAATATATACAAAGCAAGAATATTAAATCTAAAATTTTAGTACAATTCATATTTTTATTCTTTATCTTCATCAAATGTAATTGTTTATATAATGTTTGTTTTCAAATGACTCCACCATGAACATATAAAATGTTTTACTTGGGGTGAGGGTGATAATTTTTATAAGGATCAGAAAGAAAAAAAATGGATCATATATTCATTTAGAAAATAAAAGCTAAAAAAAAAGAATTAAGCCCTGGTTTGCTTTTCCTAATCATGTCATGCTTTTACTGTGTTAATGAAAACAAAATCAACTCCACTGATATTTGATGTTAAACTACCTCATCACTTTCAGGATCCTTGCTTTCATCCAAATGATTCCTCCCACCATACAAATGCCAATTTCTCTCCATCACATCTAAGTACCACAGTAGATTTTCACATGTTACAATTTCCAAAAGTATGAATCATTAAATGTCCTCTGGGCCTCAGTTTCATCATCTATAAAATGTAGGAGTTTGACTATGACCAAGAATGACAAAAAATTTCTTATTCCAAAAAGTCTGTCTTAGATTAATGATGACAACATATGCATTCCCTCAACACTTGCCAGTTGAAGAGAAGGTAGCCTCAAAATACATGAGATAGTTCCCTAGGTATATTATACATATATGTGTGTGTATATACTCATATACATATACACACATTGTAACATAATGCATCACATATTATATGTGTGTATGCACATATGTATGTATAAGTATATCTTGTATATGTTATATATATATGCTATATTTACCTAATACATATATTAAAATTCAATACATATTTTTAATATTATTATATATTTCCCTAAGCTAATCCAAAAGAGAGGGCAGCTAGGTGTCACAGTGGATAGAGTACTAGGCCTGGACTCAGGAAGACTCATCTTCCTGAGTTCCAATCTGACCTTAGACATTGACTATGTGATTTGGGCAACTCATTTACCCCTGTTGACCTCAATTTTCTCATCTGTAAAATGAGCTGGAGAAGGAAATGGCAAACCACTCCAATATCTTTGCCAAGAAAATTTTTTATAGGGTAATGAAGAATCAGATATGACTGAAAATGACTGAACAACAAGAATCTAAAAGATGAACAATCTACACACAGATCATATTTTATCATATAAATCTTAGATGGGATATTTAATAGGGATAAAATTCAGCATATGAATTAGAAATGAGAAAAAGATACTTGTACATTATCAATAAATAAGGCTAACACAGAGCAAACATTAAGTTTCATTAGTCATAGAGAGTAAAGTATATAAACCCTAATTGGAAATTAATAATAAAAAGCAGTATAATAAGACTCAAATACACTTTGGATACCTGAGTTATGGCATCACTCTATGGTGATTCCTTTTCAATATTATAAATGTCTCACCTTTGTCTGTTGCAAGCACTGTAATGCTGTATACACCATTTTTAACAACCTCTGCTTCTCTGTCCATTTTTTTGGAAGTTATTATTGACCCTGAAGTTTCATCAATGGTGACCCATCCTTTGGGATCATTTAATTTCTTATACCTGTCAACAAGGAATCAAAAAATTTCATAAAACTCAAAAACTTGAAACATTCCAAAATGTAATATTGCTATTAAATTGCTTTCCTATTCCATTTTACAAATACATGGAAAGTATAATGGCATTACTGGTGAAGATGTGAGGAGAGGCATGATGAAGATGGGACTGGGATGCACCCCAGCACATCAGCAAGGGCAGGGACAGAGAATTAAAGGGACCATCATAAAAGACAGACGCTTTGGGGAGACAGGTTGCAGCAAACTGAGTGATCGGTTCTTCTAAACTATGTGTCATCTCATCCAGAACTGACTTTGAAGTTTGATTCTCTTTGTCCCTACAATTAATTGGTTTCACACCCACAACCCACCCATCTGAGATCTGTGTTCTTTGAACAAACCTTGGTTAGGGACCAAACTTGAACTTTTGCTTTCCACTTGCTCGGCCCTCCATTTAGAAACCACCTTTCTCCCCTGGAAGAGTATTGTTCTTCTGCCCAAGTTTTTTACTAATCCCTGGCACATGACATCCAGCCTTCCCCAGGTTGGGATACCACACTTAGTCTGACTCAGTACCTGAAGCTGTCAATGGCAGAGCTACTTGCTTGTCCCTTCTTTGGGAGACTCCAGAGCTACAACAAAATTTGACCCAAACACCAGAATAATTCACTATTTTGTGAGATGCATTTGCTACTGGTCCAGGAAGGGAGAAGTAAAATTTTAGTTTAGACAGAGGGTGGAGTCAGTAGACTTTAGATCTACACAGCACCAGGAACTCCCTTAGGTTCTTCCATTGAGCAGACAGTGGATCTCCCAAGGCTTCTAGGCCAGTGAAAAATTTTCATGGACCCCTACCCCTAAGGAGTCCATAGAGAATAAGCCAAGGTGACCTTTGTGGGTATCCTGACTAGCTGAGCAGGTTTTCTTCTGAGTCACTCCCTACCTGACCGAATTACCACCCTCTTCAAACCTTGTACAATGTAGACAGATTCCTTTAGAAGTTCAAAGGAAGTAGTGCACCCTTTACCATCTTAGAGTTAAAACAGCCAGGCAGCAGATTTACTGGCTTCAGGAGGAACAACTTGCTTCTGGGCCTTTAGGTCTGCTGGTCAGAAAATAACTTCTATTCACGAAAGGAGATATATCCATGGCCTACCTTGACTGCTTCTACTACTCCTAATAATAATACCTAACGTTTATACATCACTTACTATGCACCAGGCACTGTACTAAGCACTTTGCAAAATTATTATCTCATTTGATCCTAACAACAGTCCTGGAAGGTGCATACTATTGTTGTCCCCATTTTGCAGATGAGGAAACTAAGCCTAACAAGAAGTTAAATTACTTGTTCAGGATCACACAGCTAGGATGTATCTGAGGCAGGATTTGAACTCAAGTCTCCCAACTCTAAATCTAGCACTCTATCTCTACTCTGCCATGACAACCCAGGGCAATTTCAGACCTCTTGATAGCTCCATCAATGCCAGATCAATTGGGCAATACTATCAAGTAGATTCACTTTCACTGTGACTTATGTCCTGGACCATGAAAATGTGAAGGTAGAAGTACTGTCATGAAAAGCCAAATCCCAACTGGACCCTTATTATAGGCTATATCCACTAAACCTTAACAAATCAATTAGAATGCATCTGACAGAAGTGAAGGATACTTATAATTAGATTTGGTTATCCAACTTCCAATTGTTCATGGATAGGCCATACCTTAAGGATGGCTATTTTTTAATATCCAAAAGGGTCTTATACCTCCACTGTTGCCTAGATATATCCTGACTAGTGAAGCTTTATGTGTAAAGTGCTGTATTTTGCATGATGGCTCAGTATCAAGCCACAGGGATCATTCAAAACATTCTACCTGGTTGTCTATGAAAAGTCTATGTCTATGAAACTATGACATAACTAGGTAAATGCAACTGTGGCATGTTAGAATGTCAAACCAATATGTGCCCAAGCCAAGTAACTTGGGGCACAGGGATAGGGGAGCAATCTTGCTGTAATCTCTACCATTTCCTCCCAGTTCTAGGTGGTGGCAGCATTAAAATCTCATCATGGATTTGCCTTTGGTCCCAGACATAAGATGTCATTTTGACTTTAACCAAGATGCCTCATTTCTTCCCCTATGCTGGACTCTAGTCACAGCCAAACCCACCTGCCTTTTTCTGAAGAATATATGTATATGTGTGTGTGTGTGTGTGTGTGTGTGTATACTATACATATTTTACATGTTGTATATGTGTGTGTGTGTGTGTGTATATATGTGTATATGTGTGTGTGTATATGTTTGGGGTTTTGTTTTTGTTTTTGTTTTTTTGCTGGTTCCCTTTTCACATTACCTCAGACCAGCCATTATAGTTTCTCTCACATTTAACAACTACATGCTTTCATGACCCATTCGGAAAGGATTTACTTCTCCACTGCACTTTCCCTATTTTAATTGTCCTAAGAGGAACATGAATTGAATCCTGGAAATATCTCTACTACCACCTTTACTACCTATCAGAATGATTGTTCCACCCCAATTGTTATTAATATCATCTATTCATCTTCTTAGAACATACACTTCCATAAGAACTATGATTTCCACCATTATTGTCCACCCATCTACTCTATGCACTGCAGTTCCTAGGGATGTTGGAGGCCAAACATATAGCAAGAAAAGTGGTACATAAATGAGAATCTGACTACTATCACACCCCAAAGAAACCCATGACCAAGTCTGTCTATTTTCCCATAATCTCCACACCATCAGACTTCCCAAAAACTAATATAAAAGGCTATCTTCTCATCAATCAGTTTCTAATTCCAGGCTCATATTGGCTGTGGTTATTCTCCTCTTTCCATCACCCTTGTCCCTTTGGTCTAGCAAAATCACCTCATTAGTGAAATAAAGTTCTTTGAGGGGAGATATTTTTTAATCCCTTCATGAGAATGTGTGTACCCTTAGTGTCTAGCACAGTGGCTTTAATATAGTAGGTGTTTAATAAATATTTGTTCATTTGAATTCAGGTCCTTGACTGCTACAGTTAATTGGGTAAAGATTGGAAAACTATTGTGCAGATGATCATTACCTCACAGAGGCAGCGGGACAACTTGAGGATTTTGTGTACTGGCAATGGTACAGAACTGAAGAAAGGACATGGAAAGCAGCCCACAAAATGTACAAGCCATAGAAAGGGTAGAGACTTTTCCCCCAAGGCTATCCCAAACCACAGCAAGAAGTTTAGAGAGGTATGCTGACTGATGGAATGGTGTATGAGCTCATAGCATTCTTTCAGAGGATGAGTGAAGAGAAGACAGAGCTGACTCTGTGCCTATGACCCAGCTTTCTTATCAGTAAAGGGTAGGGTGGAGAATGCAAACAGCTGACATAAAAGACTTAAATTCAGGGAGGTGACTGTCTGTCTGACAAATGGTCAGTTTCTCTGACATGCCCTGTATGCTGCTTCCTCATCCACTACTAACGTCCTAACCTCAAGCTCCATTCCTAAAACCCGTTTTTCAACTGATTACAGTACTGGGAATTTCAGACCTCTGAAGAAACCCTAATAAGGACATGGCTTGACTTTTTATTTTATACTTTCTTGGCTCCTGACCCAGACCCTGTCTCTCTCCTCAGCAGGGGACTGCCCTTCCCCAGCCTCAGTGTTTGCCTAAGCCCTGGCCTTCACCCAGGCAGGACAGGACACTGTTTGTGTAGATAAGGACTTATTTGTACCTTATACCATTGCTGCTTCTGGTTTCTGTGTCCTGTGCTTTATACCCACTGGCTCTTGTCCCAACAGATACATTTTCCTTGATGCGAACACTTTGTGCGGCTGGGCTGCAATCTGGGCCTTCATCCTGATCTATTACATTTACAGTTACTGTAGCTGTGTTCATGCTCCGTATATCTCTAAGGAATGGGGCTTCATTGGTTGCACCAATTTCCAGTATCACCTTGTGATTTTCTTCATAGTTCAGTGGCTATAAAAGAACATTCATATCAGTTTAAATGTCCACATGACCTGTGGCCAGGTTAATGGTAACTATTCAATTTGGACAACAAATGTAATGTCATCAAAATAAGAAATATGAAAATCCTGTATCACAATTTTATTTGTGTGTGGGTATGGGTGTGTGTATCCCAAATCAGAAGACTATTGGATTATTTTTAAGGTGGCTTCAGTTCTACCTCCTATAAAAGCCTATGAAACTTATAATCCTCTGATATCTCTGTGGGGACGGAAGGAAGGAAGGAAGGAAGGAAGGAAGGAAGGAAGGAAGAAGGAAGGAAGGGAGGAAGGAAGGGAGGAAGGAAGGGAGGAAGGAAGGGAGGAAGGAAGGGAGGAGGGAGGAAGGGAGGGAGGGAGGGAGGGAGGGAGGGAGGGAGGGAGGGAGGAAGGGAGGAAGGAGGGAAGGAAGGGAGGGAGGAGGGAAGGAAGGGAGGAAGGAAGGAAGGAAGGAAGGAAGGAAAGGAGGAAGGAAGGAAGGAAGGAAGGAAGGAAGGGAGGAAGGAAGGGAGGAAGGAGGGAAGGAAGGAGGGAAGGAAGGAGGGAAGGAAGGAGGGAAGGAAGGAGGGAGGGAAGGAGGGAGGGAAGGAAGGAGGGAAGGAAGGTGGGAAGGAAGGAGGGAAGGAAGGAGGGAAGGAAGGAAGGAAAGAAGGAAGGAAGGAGGGAAAAAAAGAGTACAGTTGCTCCAAAAGGAATGACCAGAAATAGGTAGCTGTCATTTGTTTTGGTAAGTCTTGGGAGGTTCTCTGTTATGTCATGAACACATGCCCCAGAAAGACAGTAGCTTTATTGTTGTTATCAAGTTGACAAATAGCTGCCTTGACTCTGAACAGGGAAATCACCAATTACTACTGCTTCTAGTTTTCTCTAGCTGAAGGAGGCTCTAGCTAGCATCATATGCACACCCTAAACTATAATTCTTACAATGTGCTCTCTCTTTCTCCAACATGCATGAACAGCTTGTAAACACCGAAAAGTCCAAATTTTAGGGAGAAACAGTGTGACATTATGGGAGGCTGCTACTCAAATATAAGGAAGGTTAACTATGGCTAATCAATATTAAGGATATTATTTGTTTTAGAAAATTAAAGAAAACTCACAAGGAATTGTACTTTCAAAGTACTCTATACTTTTACAGAATTGAACCCTGTGTTCATGCTAGGAATGCTCTTCCTCCTCACCTTCACCTTCTGGCTTATTTCAAAATTCAGTACTAATCCACCTTCTTTAAATGGCCTTTCCCAGACCTCTCTCCTAGCCCCTCCCCCCCAATCATCCCTTGCCTCTGAAATTACTTCCCTTTTACATTATATGCATTTCGTACACATATAACTATTTGCATATTTTCTCCTCCATTAGAATATGACCTCTCTGAAGGCAAGGACTGTTTGTGGGTTGTTTTTTGTTGTTGTTGTTGTTGTTTTGTTTGTGCAGGGGCGCACGAGAACATGGATATTCTATGTTTCTGCCTTTCTTTGTATCTCCAGCACTATGTAGAGTGTCAGGCTCCTATTAAATGCTTGTTTATTGATTGTATACAGAATCCCTTTTCTTTTATCCCCTTAACTCTTTCCCAAGATACTTAAGCATTCAAGGAGTGTAGGAATTGGTGATTTACTGATAGACTAGAGCCAAAGGGTCAGAAGAGAATAATAGCAGGAGTAATTGGTGGAGATTTCTTTCTAAGTGATAACTGAGGCAATTATTTGTCAACCTGACAACAACAATAGAGATATCTATTGTCTCCCTGGGGTATGGGTCCATATGATAGAGAGTATTTCACAACTAATCAAAAACAAATGATAGCTACCTACATTTGGATATTCATATGAGCATAAAAGATACTTCAAAAAGGAACATAAAAAAATATCAGTAATTGTAAAGTCTTGGGTAAGAAACTGAAGACCACAGAAACACAGGTTGCATTTTTCTTGCTGCTGTCCACTGAAGGAAAGGGAGGCAGAAGAGAAAAACAAATTTGGAAAGAGGAACAGTCAGCTAAGAAGGTTATATCTGAGAATGGGATTTTTATTTCTGGATCATGGTTCATATATTTATTTATTATATATTTTTACATAAATATATATTTTTATTTATATATATAGTGCATATATTTTATATAAATATATGCTTATATATTTATTTATTATCTATTTGTTACATATTATATATTTATTATATATATTCATATATTTATTATATATATTTATATAACCAATACAGAGGTGACAATTTATTGACAATCGTAGATTACACCTAACAGAGTCTAATGATATTTGTCAAGTATCTTCCCCCCAAAAAGGGCTTTAAAATAAAAGTGATGGAGGATTAAGATGTCTGTGTATATCCTCCAAGTTAGATGGTTCAGAGAGTATCCACAAAGGAAAAAGAACAGTAACTGAGATACCCAGAAATTCACAGGAGAAAAATTCCAAGGAAAAGCACTAGTAGTATAAAACTCAGGACCTCAAACATTTATATGTAAATGCCTAAAGTTTAAGAAACAAAGAGAACTAAAGGTCTTAACAGAGGAAATAAAATTTGACTTCACAGATATCATTGGGACTTGGAGGGATGAAATCCATGCAGGGATCATAATTGTTTCAAAAGAAACAGAGTAGATAAAAGGGAGATGAGGTAACATTGTGTATTAATTAGATGAAAAAATCTAGGAACCAAAGGAGGGAAGCATGATGGGAGGCATTTGGTAAAGGAGAGAGATCAGAAAAAATGTACAAAAGATCAGAAGATAACAGAGGATTAATGTAAAAGCATGGCAAAAGTCCCATGAACTGTGTCAGAAGTGCTAAAGTTCACAATGAGCTGATGTTGGCAAGGGAAGCTTAAGAACAGATTATTTAATAGATAGTTGGTGAGTATCTAGAAAGGAAGTAGTGATTACAAAGAGTCAACCTGGTTTCATCAAAAATAGGCCATGCTAGGCTACCCTCATTTCCTTTTTTTGACAGGATTATTAAACTAGTAGATAAGGAAAATGCCTTGGTTATAGTTTGCTAATATTTTTTAGCAAATCTTTAAATAAAGTGTCACATTGTTCTTGTGGAGAAGATGGAGAGCCATAGAGTAGACACAATATAATTAGATGTATTCAGAACTGGTTAAATGACTGGATTCAAATAATAGTTGTTGCATGATAAGTCTCCAGTGGAGTTCCCCAGGGATCTGTGCTTGGTTCTATGCTATTCAGCATTTTTATCAATGACTTAAATAAAAGTATAAGTGGATATTTATCAACTGCATAGATGACACAAAGATGGGAAGAATAGTTAACACATCCAACAACAGTCAGGTTCCAAAAGGTTCATGACAGACTTAGAGCATTTTGGCTAAATCTTATAAAATAAAAATTCAATAGAAATAGATGGAAAGTCTTATAATTGGGTACCAAAAATCAATTTCATAAATACAAGATGGGAAAATATGCCTAGATAGCAGTTGTTGTTTAAAAAAAAAAAGATCTAGGGATTTTGAGTCATCAAAATGATGTTGCAACCAAAATTTAAAAAAAAAAAAAAAGCTAATATAATCTTGGGCTACTTTGAGAGAGGCACATTTTCCAGGGATAGGAAGTAAAAGTCCCATTGCATTCTTCCCTAATCAGATCCCATCTGGAGTACTGCATTTAGTTTTGAGCTCCACAGTTTAAAAAGAACATTGAGGGACTTCACAATGTCCAAGGAGCAACTAGGATGATACAAAGCTCTGAGTCTATGTCACATGAGGATCAATTGAAAAAAGAGGAATGTTTAGTCTGGAGAAATAAAGACTCAGAGAGAAGGAGAGGGGGATGGTAATAGTTTTAAAATATTTGCAGAGTATTCACGTGGTTGAGGGATTAGGTTTGTTCTGTTTGTTCTGAGAGGACAGAAGGAAGAGAAAAGAGAGGAAGTTGTAAAGAGGCAAATTTATACTTGACATCACAGCAAAACTTCCTTATAATTAGAGCTGTCCAAAAGTGGGAGGGACTGCCTCTACAAGTGGTGAGTACTCTTCCTCAGGGATCTTCAAGCAGAGGTTGGATATGGTATAGTAGAAATTCTTTTCAGGTTTGGGGTGGACTAGATGGCTGCTCAGTTCCTATGATTCCAGGATTTACTTAAAGTATGACAAAATTTAGAGGGTTAAATAAATGTTTGGTTCCAAACTTTGCCCACTGAGTATGTTCATGAAATGTGATCATTTCCTAATAGCATGGCCTTTTCAAGAAGCCAGAAACTCCTCTAAATATTGAATTCCACCAGATATGAAGAAGTAGAAACAGTCAAATACCAATGCTTATTTTTGCAATGCTATTGAAAATACAAAGACTAATTCAGAAATACAGGTATCGATGGGGGTTTTGTTTATGTTCTAAGAATCATTGGGTTTAGAGCAGGAGTCCTTAACAAGAGGTCCATGAACTTGGTTGAAAGAAAATAACACATTTATTATTTTCACTAACATCTAAATGAAATTTATCATTTTCTTCAATTATTTAAAAACATTATTCTGAAAAGTCTATAGGATTTATCAGACTACCAGGGTCCATCACATGCACACACACAAGACCTTCTGCTTTGGAGGAAGAAGGAGCCTTAGAGATCATCTAATCCAAGTCTCCTTTTACAGATGAAGAAATTTAGGCTCTTGGAGGCCAAATTACTTGATAAAGTTCATATAGCTAATCAGAGGCCAGACTAGAATCTGAAACCATGCTCCATGATTCTAAATTCAATGATTTTTCCACTGCTGTCATGCAGTCTCAGAAAATTATGTGAGAAAAGGCCATGACACTCTTCAGCAACAGAGGCTGCCAGCAACTTTGGGGATCTTAATAGAAGATTGGTTGAACCTTATTTCAGGTTGGGTGCTATAGCTACTCTTCCTTGATACCTTTGGTCAAAACTAAGAGAGTACTCTAGGAAATTTTCTGAAACCTAAATAAACTGATTTGGGAAACTCTTGCCCTGGCTTTTGAACTCTAGTAGTTTGGAATTCCATCAAGCTTCCCAGAAGGAAAGAAAAAATATGGTTTCCCTTTTACTTTGGAAACCCTTTTCTTCCTGCGTTAGCACTTGCAAAGCCTCAAAAGAATCAAGGCTTCCCAATTATGTATCCAAATCCTAAGGAAGCCTACTTAAAACTAGAAAATGTTTTCTGAATGTTCTCAATATTAACTGGAATAGTAAAATCACATTTCTTGAAACAAGTAATTATAACCTTAGAAGATATTCATGGATTCTACTTTTCTTGTCTATGTTAGATTGGATCAGTTGCTAAAACAGAAAACGCATGATTTAATTACATGAGTTAATGTCATATTGGCATAGTGATTCTGGCTCTGAAGCACTGGAAGTCATTAATTAAGATGAAAAGGTTCATGAACACATAGACTGGAGGAGTGCTTGTATGTGACTGAAAAGCACAGATTTTTACACTTTATCTAAACATTTGTTTTATTTCTATAAATGCCAAAGTTCATTTAAGTGAAGTCAATATGACAAGTTTTAGACTGTCCAAGCTATGATTTTTTTCTTTTTTTCTCACCTTAATAACAGATAAAACGCCTTCATTGGTCTGGGGGTCTGTCACAATCTGAAAATTTTTATTTCCATTGCCTTTTAAAATGGTATAATTAGCTCTCCAATTAGCAGTGTTAGGCAAATCCTTATCTTGTACAGCTATTCGCAAAATATTCATCTTCATTGTATTTTCCTCAACTGATGTTTCATACTGAAATAAATAAAATCTCATTAGTAATTTTCTTTACAAAGAGAGAAAGCTATGTTAAGGGCAGTGAAAGTTCTCCTCCCTCCCCCAACTCCAAGAGCACTTGATATCACAGTTTTCACAAATGATTTAAAACAAGGAATTCAAATGGTCAGGTCATTCAGGGTCATTTTTAAATAATGCATTTAGAGTAAAAATTAGTCTATATGACCAAAGAATACAACCTTCATGCTAATCAAAGTGATAAAGCAGTTTTCTTCTTATGTATGTCAGCCATCTAAGCTTTCTTTCATTTTACTTGGAAGAATTTTAATAAAGATACTACCCATTTTGTGATTTTGTGGTTGTTTTTCAGAAGTTAAACATTATATTAATTCAGATAACACAATTTGTGGTAAAAGAAAAATTAGATGTTTCAATTGGATGTAATACATTTTACATTAAACAAGTATAAGCACTTACCATAGGCTTTGTGAAAGTGGGAGCATGGTCATTTGCATCTTTTATTGAAATAATACAAGTTGATGTATTCATCAAACCAAAAAATTGACCATCCATATCCTGTACTTTCACTGTCAACTTGTATTTGCCTACTACCTGAAAGCAAAAATAAAAATTTAATTTTGGTGGGAAAAGCTAATGTTTGTTCATATTCTTAGACCATTTATCAATTGCAAAATGGGTCTGGTTTCTTATAAATATGAATCCATTTCTTGTAAAACTTGGAAATGAGACTTTTATTAGAGAAACTTGCTGTACAATTTTTTCCTAGTAAATTAATCTTAGGTTTATTAGATTTGTTTGTATTAAAACTTTTTTTTTAATTTTATGTATCAAAATTATACATTTGATCTTTTATGATACTCTCTATACATTCTTTGGGCACAGATTTTTCTCCTTATCCCTAGATCTGATAAGCAACTTTTTCTGTTTTTCTAATTTATTTATGATGTAACCTTTTATATCTAGGTCACATGTCCATTGGGAGTTATCAGTGAGGTATTGGTCTAAATCTAATTTCTTCCACATTATTCTCCATTTTCAAATAGTGAGTCCTTATCTCAGTAGCTAGGGCCTATGTTTATCAAATAGTAAGGTATTAGACACATCTACTTCTGTATGTTACGTACCTACTCTCTTCCACTGATAAATCTCTCTTAGCCATTACCAAATTGTTTTTTTAAAAAACTGCTTTATAGTATAAATCGAGATATGGCACTGATAGGCACTGGTAGGCTCTCTGTTTTCATTTCTTTTCATCATTTCTTTAAAGTCCTTGACCTTTTTTTTCTCCATATGAATTTCAATATTATTTTTCATTCTAAGTAATAGATACATTATATTTATCATTTTAAGGAAAAGATGATTTATTCCTTTGAAAATTTTTTTAAAGAAATTAACAAAACTGAGAAAAAAGAATTGATAAATAAAACTAGAATTTTTAAAAAGATAGTCTATGAATTAACTTGATTATAAACAAAGTAGAAAATTAAATTACCAATATCAAAAATAAAAAGGGGAATTCAAAAGAAATGAAAAATGAATAAAAATTATTAAAATCTAATTATTCAACTACATGCCAAATGAAGTAAGTGAATATTTACAAAAATATAAAACATCCAAATTAATGAAAGAAATAGAGAATTTAAACAACTCAATTTCAGAGGAAGAAAAATAAACAAACCAAACTTTGGCTTTGAAGTTTGGGCTTTCCATGCTTCCCTCTTCACCCTAACTTCTCTTCATTTAATTTTGATGAATACAATTTTTTTTTTCTGAAATGACCACCATCTCCCAGTACCCAATAGATCAGAAAGGTCTTTCTTTTCCTTCATCCAATTAGATTATAAAAACCCATGGAAAAAAAGTCTTTCTATGACTAACTAGAAAGAATAAAAACAACAATTGGATTCTTGCTTTCATGTGACTAAAAATATAATTCTAATGTCTTCTTCAATTTACCACCTCCTCATCTTGCCCTTTGGCACTATTTTTACACAACATGGCTAAATCATTTATTTAAACCTATATGGCCAAAGTTTGTTCAATTGCCATTATGCCCTTTGATTCAGACTGTGGTTGATGACATGACAAAGGAAAAAATGTATTGACTCTGGAGTCAGAGAACAATGGTTCAAATCCAGCCTCTAAAGCTTACTACCTGTTTGAGCTTAGGCAAGTCCCTTCACTTCCTGGAACTCAGTTTCTACACCTGTACAATGAATAGTTTACACTAGATAGCATAAGGCTACTTTGTTTTTCATGATAATTTCCCTATGGTCTATTAACATGATTTGTATAGCACAGCACCATATATGTACGAGGAAAGGAGAGGAGAGACCTTTCTGACCTATTGGGTACTGGGAGATGGTGGACATTTCAGAAAAAAAAAAGGTATGCATCAAAATTAGATGAAGAGGAAAAGAGTTGGGGTAAAAAGGGAAGCATGGAAGGCTCAAGTTTCAAAGGCAAAGTTAAAGATCTAGCTCTTGTTCATAATGCATTGGGAAATTTTACAGTAGGCTACTATAACAGCAGACATTTTTTTCCGGTAGAATATGTGAAAGATACATTCAAATTTTAAAACAGCAAAGTTAATTATTAAATACTTTTGAATATTATATGTTTTAAATATTAAAATAGTAAATACATACTAAGTTAAGTTATTCATTTGCAGCACAGAGCTAACATATAAACACTAGAATTTCCCTGTTTTTCAGTTTCCTCTCCATAATCTTCACTCTCCTTGATAATTTGTTATATTGGGAAGCACTGACCACTCTCTTGACCACCATTCACATACTCTCCTGCTCCTCCTCTTTGAAAAATCTTTCTCTGCCTCTTTAATTGTTGAATTTTCCTCCACTGTCCTTAATGTGAATGTTCCTTACAATGAATTACCTACAAATTTTTTTACTGAAGCTCCTGACCTTAAACATATCTAAAACTGAACTGTTCCTGGGAAAACTGCTACCTTCTTCAAAACACCAAAACCTCAAAACTGCAGATCTTTGACTCCTTCTTTGTCCTCTTAAATAATCAGTTTCCAGATCCTGTTAATTTATCCTTCATCATGTTTTATATATAATTATTATTTGCACTGCCATTCTGATTGTCCAGAACCTGATGAATGTAAGCTTATTTCTACTATGCCAGATTTTCAAATAATCTGAATCTAGACTACTCTAAGTCTCCTAAATGTTCCTATCTCTACACTCTTCCCTCTTCAACTAATCCTATACATTAGTCTTCCTAAATTACTCAACTCATATCCTGGTAAGTAGGAATGTTTCCATGATACCTCAAAGTCAATAAGATACAATTCAAACTCTTTATAGTGGCATTTAAAACTCTCCATAATCTGAACCCAATCTGCCTTCTACCTCATTTCTTATATACATTCTGCCCTGGCTAGACTCCTATCTGATTACTGTCCTCTAAATATAGGAGATTCATTACTGCTTACCACTATGGTTTCTGTTATATGCCCCCCCCCCCATTCAAACCCTATGTAGTCCCTATGTCAGGGCCTACCTTTCCTTGAAAGTTGTCTGACTCCTATCTTATAATGGCTTCTCCAACTAGAACTTAAAGATTTTATACTTGATGAAACCAAGGCAAAAGGATTAAGTGACTAGTCCAAGGTCACACAGCTAGTAAGTATCTGAGACCAGATGTGAATTCAGGAAAATGAGTCTTCCTGACACCAGGACTGACACTATCCACCTCACCATCTCGCTTCCCAGAACTTATTAATCATACATTTATTCAATATGTAATCAAATGCTACAATAAAATGAGATAGTACATATAAAGTATCTACAAACCTTACTATGCTATATAAATGCTAACATAATTATTATTGAAAAAAATTATCATTTTTATAATAATCCACTGCATCATCATCCACTCACTATTATTCAGCCCTTTGTAATCAAGTATCTATGCCTTGTTTTCAATTTTTTCACTGAAAGTCACCAAGACAAAGCAAAACTGAAAACAAGATAGATGTCCATGGATTAGGGAATGGCTAAACAGATTATGGCATATCAACATAATGGAATATTATTGTGTTATAAGAAATGATGGGGCAGCTAGATGACACAGTAGATAGAATTCCAGTCCTGGAGTCAGGAAGATTGATCTTCTTGAGTTCAAATCCAGCCTTGGACAAGTACTAGTTCTATGATCCTGGGCAAGTCACTTGACCCTGTTTGCCTCAGTTCCTTATCTGTAAAATGAGCTAGAGAAGGAAATGACAAACCACTCCACCATTTTTGCCAAGAAAATCCTAAATTGGTTCACAAAGAGTCTGGCCGAAAAACAGCTGAACAGCAACATAAAAAATAACGAGTGTAGGGGCAGCTAGGTGGTACAGTGGATAGAGCACTGGCCCTGGAGTCAGGTGAGTTCAAATCCAGCCTCAGACACTTGACACTTACTAGCTGTGTGACTCTGGGCAAGCTACTTAACCTCACTGCCTACCCAAAAAGAAAAAAAGGGGTAAGTGGGATAACTACAGGGAAACTTGGAAAGACTTTCACAAACTGATACAGTGAAGTAAGCAGAACCAAGAAAATAATATACACAACTACAACAATTTAAATGGAAAGAAACACCACAAAACAATAAAAAGCATATGTTGAAAAATTATTAAAAGAAAAAAAAAACAAGTATGGCCTCAAAGAAATGAGAAGACATCCCATCCCTACTCCTGTCCAGAGTGGGGTAAGGTCCACAGATATACTGCATATATTTTCAGTTTTATATATATATATAAGTTTTGTTAATTTTTTCTCTTCCTCTTTTTCCTTTAAAAAATATTCTTTATTGTGTAAGATAGCTCTCTGGAAGAGGGGAGGAGGAATAATATGGAGGAAAATACAAACAAAAAAACCAATAAAATGTTATTTAAAATATAATTAAAAGTCACAAAAAGGTTAACTCAAGCACCTTCTTATTGCAGTCATTGCTGTAAACTATCTCTCTAGCCTCCTTCTCATTCTGTACAATATTCCTTTCAAGATATTTAGTTGCCATATTGTACCATTATCAAGATTATAACACACCAGAACCCTCAGATCCTTTTCATATTTAGCCATCATTCCCCCATATTGTGAAGTTCTGATCAAAATGTAGAATTTTTATATTTATTTTGATTAAATTACATCTTAATATACTTAGCCCAATTGAAGGCTATCCATCAGGCTATTTTTTTTTCGGATCATGATTTATTCAGTGTGTTAGCTAGCTCTCCCAATGGTGTGTTATCCACAGATATGGTGGGCACTGTTATCTCATTTGGGAAAACCAAATAGGAAGAGATGGGGGAAGGAGAGAGAATGCTATTCTTCCTTCTCCTCCTCCTCATCATCCTCATCTTTTCTTTCTCTAAAGAAATCATAACTTTCTGAAGAGATGTCATTATTTTTTCTATCCACCACAATGCAGGACATTGCAATACGAAGAGTTAGGGTTCAATATATTGTTGACTGTATTATTACTTTTGTTTTGATTACTTTTCATTTGGAAAAAATGTCTATTGTGATTTAAGGGCTGAGTGGTGATGATGATGATGATGATACCTTTATATTAAAAGATGCTACATGTATTCTGAATTCTACTTTCAAGATGAACAATCAGCATGTGCTGGTCCATCATCCACATTCACTCTTTCAGTTCCTTTCATGACCAAGAGCACATATTTCAAACCAGCTCATGGAGGTTAAGGGTTTGGACTGGTTTGGGCTATAGCCCTGCATAAAGCAGAACAAACTGACCTGCACAAAGATTTGAGCCATAACCATAGCTTCAGTTTCAACTGAACCCATGAAAAAAAAATAACCTATCAATCCACAAGAAAAATCAAAATAACAGTTTCAAGAATGCTTTTAATGAGTCAGTCCCTCTCTTCTTAGATTACTTTGCACTGTTCTTCTATCGTTTGGTAACTAATCCCCAAAATATCATATTCCTTTCTCTTAATGGTACATCCCACACAATTAAAATGAAGTAATAAAAGAACCAGCTTAAATAAAATATGAAAATCATAAAATATACCTTCTCAGTGCAATCTCTTTTACATGATCTTGACTTTGGCCAGCACTTTTTTTCCCACATTTCAGCTAAAAGGATTTCTTTAAATTGGAATCATTTTTAATAATACTTTTCAGTGAAGTTTGACACAGCAATTAGATGTTATGTTTAAAAGTTACCTCTCTGTCCAGCTGATTTGATATTGTGGTGATCACACCTGAAACTGGATGCACTGAAAATAATTTAGGAGATGGTGGCTGTTGTTCCATAATAGAGTACTTCAGGCGAGTATGCATTGTATCAGGTTCATCTCTATCTGTAGCAGATACCTTCCCCACCGTAGTGCCTAAGTATTTGGAGAAAAAAAAAACCCTCTTCAGTATCTACAAAAAATACAACCTTATACCTCTCATCTGTATGGTTTTATCCCAAATAAGGTAGCCTCAACAAATATTATTTTACCTTAACACTATTCAAGTGTTATAACCAAACCACACCAAAAATTCTCAAAATTTTGCTGGAACACCATTGGACAATGATTTATTATTTCCATAAAATCCACTATTCCTATCATAGCATTTGATGTTAACATTACATTTTCATAGAACTAATTCATGTTATCAGGGAGGGTAGACCTATACTTAGAAAACTCAGAGAATATGAGGGGAAAAACTGATACATAATTCTGAAGGGAAATAGCTTTAAACATTTTGATAGTATTTTCCTTTTTTTTTTTTTTGCTTTTTAGGCAATTGGGGTTAAGTGACTTGCCCAGGGTCACATAGCTGGTAAGTGTCAAGTGTTTGGTCTGAGTCCAGATTTGAACTCAGGTCCTCCTGACTTCAGAGCCGGTGCTCTATCCACTGCGCCACCTAGCTGCCCCTAGTATTTTCCTAAATATGGATAGGGAATAGATCTGTAAATTAATTGGCCTAGGCAACTCTCAAATTAGGAAACTCATTCCACCTATGCAGGTTGGTATTTCTCTTCATTTATGGTATTAGAGTTGCCTAAAATCACTGAGAGCTTAAGTGACTTACACAAAGTCACATAGTCAGCATGCGTCTGAGACAAAATTTAAGATTAGGTGTTACTGGCCACAAAATCAGTTATTTATGGCATGATGCCAATTACAAATTTTCATGAAGAATTTAAGATATTTTTTAAAGCCACCAATTATCAGTTAATAACTACGCATTGAGCAACCACAGTCCATTCTATTTTATTCACAGTTCAAACTATTATATCATTCATTTCCAAAACTGTATATTTTGTCTACAATGTTATATTGTCAGGGAATGACTTGAATTATAAAATCAAAATAATAGAAAGACTATGAACCCAAGAGAATACATATTTTCTTTTATAACTTTTTTTATGGTGGCAAAGAATTAGAAATTGAGGAGACAGCCATCAAATGGGAGAAACCTGAACAAAGTGTGGTATATAATTGTAATGTAATATTATTGTGCTATAAGAAGTAACAAGCAGGGTGGTTTCAGAAAAACTTATAAGAACTGATGCAAAGTAAAGTGAACCGAACCAAGAGAACATTGTACATAGTGACAAGAATATTATAACAATGATCAACTGTGAAAGACTTAGCTACTCTAATCAATACAATGATCCATGACAATTCCAAAAGATGCTATCAACTTCCAGATAGAGAACTGATGAACCCCAAGTTCAGACTGAAGCATATCTTTCACTTTATTTTTCTTGCTTTTTTATAATATGACTAATACAGAAATATATTTTTCATAAATTCAGGTGTATAATGAGTATTGTATCACTTGCCTTCTCAATGGGTGAGGGAAGGACTAGAGAATGAAAGAACTTGGAATTCAATTTTTAAAAAATAACAAAAAATTTAAGAAAAAATACTGAGTTTAGAAATTTATAATAGGAATTTTCATAAAATCCACATTACGGTTTTGGTTTTTTTAGTTAGGTAGTGAAAAGGGTAGGAGAGATGGGCCAAGCAGGAAGAGTAAATTTTCATTAAAGTAATGTCTTGCTAAACTGTCAGGGATAGTTAAGTAAGCAGATGGAAATTACAACATAAATAATGGCTAAAGTAGATATTTGGGGTTTTGGTTTAACCACTGATTTATAGCAACCTGATTTCACCTAATCCTCTTATTCTTTCTTGCAGAGGCTAAGAAACACTAGCAACACAAAGAAATGAGAGAAGCAATAGATCTGTTTAAAGCATAAACTGTATGGTGAAGATTAAATAACTGATAGCTGCCTATTGAAGGCATTCCTTTAGAGTAGGCTTCCACTGAATATCAAGTGGAAAAAACATTATTTAATGCTGCACCAAATCAATAGGAAACTTGGTTGTTAAAAATTACATTTAAAGAATACTCAAACACAGCAAACTTAATTATTATTAATAATGTGCTTACCAATTCTACAGCCTTCAAGAACCTCAAAATTATAAACTGTTTCTGTGAACATTGGGTAGTTGTCATTTTCATCTTCAATTTTGATAGTAAGTGGCAAAGGAGAATCTGAATAATACCCATCTGGAGTAGATGCATAGGCGACTAACTGTAACAGAAGAGAACAATGTAAATTAGATAACAATGAACCAAATTTGGAGATGTTGTCTTGACATTCCTTATTAAATCTTTTTTGTCACCACAACAAAGCACAACTAACAGAACATGAAATTGGAAGTGGCATTGTATCAACCACAATGAGAGATATCAGGTTATTTTTAGAAAGTGTTGCACTTCAAATGTAAACTAGAAATGCAGAGGGGTAATCCAGGGGTCAATTAGATCTAGTATAGTAGGATGAAGAATGACATTTGAGTTCATGAACTCTACTGCTATTCTACATTCTGCCCATACTCAGCTATGTTATGCTGAGTAGGTCAACTGAACACTGGAATTCTCCAGCTGTATTTCCCATTGGTTCATTTATATAACATACCCTTGAATCTTTGTGACAGAAAGAAATTCGCAAATAAAATATATCTTTTGAAATTGGGTAGAAAGTAGGAATAACATAAGAGAATGTACACATAATTAAGAAAAATAAAGTACAGTTTTCCATATTTTGGAGAGTTCTTTACTAACGTGACATTGACTCTGTTTTATCTCATGACAGTCTTAGCAAAACCAAGGTGAAAGAGAGATGGATATTTATAACTCAAACTGAGAGCCATGTTCAGATAGTGAAGCAGAAAATATTTAACTGTAATATTAGCAAGGAAACTTCTCGACCAAACAGAAATTCCTATTCCTAAAGCAGTGGGAGCAACTAAGTTTATTAGTTGGAGATGACAGGAAAGGAAGACAACATACAAAGGCATAGGTCAACTAGTTTCTAAATTAAGAACAAAAAACATAAAGTTTTGTTGTAATATATTGCAACAAATTATACAGCATCTAGAATGAGGCCAAAAAGAGGAAAGAATACCAAAGAATGAATGGAGAAAGAAGAAAAAAGGAAAGGAAAAGGAAAGACAATACCATATAGGGATTTCCATTCAAGATTACTATATTGACTATAGAGATTCCCCGTCTCTGCAATCCTACCGCATGGAAATTCCTGGGTGCTTCTTTTAGTTCTAGTAAACTGTGCTGGGTAGATCAGTTCTAATTTGACCTGCATACCCTTCCCCAAACAACTGCCAAAACTTCCCCCGCAAACTTATTTAAAACCCTCATCATTTGACCACCCACCTGCTCTGTTAAAATAACCCCAAAATTTCTTCCCCACAATAGACCATGCCACCTCCATATCACCTTCCTGACACCACTGGATCTCTTCCACAATGAAAGACAAACAACTACCTGTGAGTAGTAATAGTTGCCCCACCAGGGACTCAACTGGTCATTTCCAGTTGGACGATACTGCTTGCTTGTTTCCTTCCTTGCTTCTCTCTCGTTCTTTTTTCTTTGTGTGTGTGTGTGTGTGTGTGTGTGTGTGTGTGTGTGTGTGTGTGTGGCAACTGGGGTTAAGTGACTTGTCCCAAGTCACACAGCTAGTAAGTGTGATGTGACTGGGGCTGGATATGAACTCTGGTCCTCTTGACTCCAGGGCCGATGCTCTATCCACTGAGCCACCCAGCTACCCCTACACTCATCATCCCCCCTTTCTTTTCTTCCTTCCTCCTTTCCTCTCTTCTTTCTTTTCTTCCTTCCTTCTCTTTCTTTTCTTCCCCCTTCCCTCTCTTCTTCCTTCCTAACTCTTCCTCCTCTCCCTCTGGCCTCATAGGAATACACTTACTTGTGAGTGGTCTGTCCAAAGAAATATAAAGCCTCACTTGGTCACCGCTTGGGTTCTGATGGCTCAAAGTGAGTATAAATAGCAATTGTTTCTGTTTTGGCCAGAAAACTTGAGGGCTTCCCTTCCCAGATGATTTTTTTTTCTTTTTTGACTAGGTAAATTCTTCGAGGCCATTCTTTGCTTCATTTCTTACTCAGCCTTAATCACTGAATAGGCATTGCCTCAGACAAACTGAGACCTGGGAAAGACCTTAGCTTAAAAAGGCCAACATCTCCCACATCACTGGGGCCATCTCTAGCCAACTTGAACCATATCTTGCCACTGGACCCAGATGGCTTCAGAGGAGAAAGTGAGGCTAGTGACTTTGCACAGCCCTACCTCACTTAAATCCAATTCATTTGCAAGTCAGGACATCACTTTCTTGATGTCATTGGTCCTCTTTGAGAATGAAGGACAAACAACAATGTCACTTCCAACTCTGAGACCACTCTTTGCAAAGAAATTAAGAGATTAACTCCACTTATTCTCTAGATAACTTTCTACCTTTAATGTATTCAAATAAATTCTTTTTTTTTGAAGGTGACAAATCTTTGCAATTGGTCTTCAATTCTAGTATACAGCTGATATGACACACAGTTTGTAGACTTCTTTTAGATGATATCATATTACCTAAAAATCTTTCAAAGGACCAACAAAAAAAGGTCAAAATCCTTAGCCTGGCATTTAAAGGCTTATACAATGTAGGCTCCAAACTCCCTTTCCAATTTTATATTTTCTTATGTTCTCTGGATGACAAACTGGCAAACTTGCTTTTGAGGTGAAAGAACTTTAAGGTTTACCCAATAAACTTGTTTATAAAGCTAGAATCAGAGGTATTTAAGCTTCACAGTTTTGTTAGGGTATTGAATGTTTATTTATCATGAGTTGCTATGAGATCTTCTTGATGAACAGACTAAACTATGACCAAAAAAATGTTAAAATTTAAGTAATTATGCCATCTTTTAGTGTCAACATGAAGAGTAAGAATTCATTTAATCTAGCCTTTGATAACTTTAAAAATGCAAAAGATGAACAGTGAGGCAAGTAAACTGGTATCTCACAGGCCTTACTTTCTAGTTACCATAAATACAATTTTCTTCAGCCTCCCTATTCTTTTGTCTTTAGAGTCCTACATAGATTTTTCTTTCCCAATTCCTTAAGCACTATTGTTGCCCTTCTCAGGCTTTTTCCAAGTATTACTCAAATTGTTAATTCCAGATCTTCACTTGCTCTACAGAAAATAAGAGAAAATATAGTCCTATACACAATTCTTTTTAGTCACATGCCAATTAACTTCTCAATTTAAACATGGTGGGATTATAGCTTCAAAGGCCCCTAAGTCTAACTCCTTCATTTTATAGCTGAGGAAATTAAGGCTTAAGACAATGATGTGTTTTGTTCTAGATTACATGAAAACTGAGTTATAGAATTGGAAATTAAAGCCAAGTCCTTTTGACTCTAAATACACTTAGTTCTTTTAACTAGACAATATGGCCTCACTAGAGTTGAGGCAATTGGAAGCAGATACAAATTTCTAAGAGAAATAGACATTAAAACCCATTCAGATCATAATATACCAAAGGGATAGCAACACTGAGGAAAAAAAAAAAGATTGCATATGAACACTGAGAAACAAACAGAATGATCCATGAATAACCTCATTAATAATTTAAACACATACCTCAAAAGCCTCATATGTTTCACGATCTACAGGACCAGTACAAAATAAATTCCCAGTATCTTTCTCTATATAAAATAAATTGAGGGGTTTTTGGTCAACTCCAGGCCCACTGATGGAGTAGTAAACAGTGTATTTCTGGGCTGAATCAGATTGGACCTATACAGACAGTAAATAATACATTTGAAAAAGTCAGAATTTAATGATGTTATTTTTTTGATAAAATTTGAATGTACATGTTTATATACTTATGGTATGGGAAAGAGATCATTTCAAAAATACAATACATATAAGTATCTTCACAGTATAAAGCATAGTAACAGAAACAAGAAGAAATTTAAGGAATTAGCACTGGATTAAACACACACACACACACACACACACACACACACACACACAAAATACCTGAAATATAACTCCTGAAGTGATGAAGCCTTGTTAAAAATGATAAATATATACAGATTCATTTTTAAATGTCTGAACTGAACATCTACTGAGAATAAAAGCCTTGTAAGCCAAAGGATATGGTGTGTGTGTGTGTGTGTGTGTGTGTGTGTGTGTGTGTGTGTGTGTACAATTAAACTCTACCTGTTGAAGAAACAAGGGGAAAGGGCCTAGAGAATTCTCTTGCATTGAACATGGAATAGGAGCCCATCTCCTCTTGGCACGTCGGAGAATTGTTTCTTTAAGTTCTCTTTTGTTCAGCTTCTAGATTTAAAAGAAAAGGAAAAAAAACAATGGCATTTGGTTTCCTAAACATCCATAAGCCCAAATCCTCAAATAATTAGGGTTGAAATGGAAACAAAATAGTAGGATGTTAAAGGAGTTAAAAGTCAGTCTTTTTAAAACTTTGACTAACATCATCACCAAAGAGAGGCTTACAAAAGATCATTTAACCCTCATCATAGCAATCATCTTCCTCTAATAACCTGCATGGAAACATGGAAGGGCTAGGTGTAGAATTAGACTTGGAAAGGATCTGTTAGTTGAGACTGTCATTTTTACAACTTCTTAGGTTTCAGGAATTCTTAGTTAAAATTTTCCAAGTGGAACAGGTTTTAAAGACTATGTGAAGTTAAGGATAAATAAACTGTACTTCCTGGGAACTTCTCAAGATTAATTACCTTTAATTCTACAGAATGAGGAATCAACATGTAAACAAGAATGTTCACATCCTACACCTGAATTATTTTTAATCCTTCTTGTTGTTGTTGTTGTTGTTGTTGAGTTGGAATCTGACTGTATTAAAAGAAAACCACCTTTTATCCACATAGCTCAAATAGAGGCAGCTTCTTTTTTTTCCCTTTTTTCAGGGAAACAGACTTTCCCTGAATAATAAGTTAAAGAATATACAAACTATAGGTGGAGATAAGTTTGGACTCTGGTGTTTCTCTTATTATAAAGTAGGAATATAATCATTTTGAATTCTGTTGGTTTATCTTGTGTAGATAAAGAAGCTGTTATGCTTCTTTGTATTTATCACATTATGCCTTTAATACAGCTATTTGTATAGATGACTTATCACAGAATCTGACTTACTGCCTTGAGAACAAGTTTAGCAGGATAATGGGTCTAAGGTGAAACATAGGATGTCTTTAGTTGCAGCCTTAATGACTGCCTGTTATTAGCAGGACAGAACTGAATTAGTCCTAGAAGACAATGTAATGGCACTCTGAGGAGTAGGTGGAGAACAGTAAGGTGTAAAAAGACTGTAAAAGTAAGAGGAGGCAGGTTATGAAGGGCTTTAAAAGCCAAAGGATTTTTTTGATCATGGAGGTAATAGGGAGCCATGGGAAATTACTAGGGGGAGGGGTGGTGTGTACAATGATATGACCAGACCTACACTTTAGGAAGATCACTTTGATAGCTGAGTAGATAGATAATGTGATGCAGTGTGAAGAGACCTGAGGCAGCGAAAACAACTAGAGGCTATTTCAATAAATAATGAAGGCCTGCACCAAGTTGGTACTAGTGTCAGCAGAAAGAAGGTGGTATATTCTAGAGAAATTGTGAAGGTAGAATCAGAATGGATATGTAGGAAGGGGAGGGAAGGAAAGGAAAGGGAGAAAAAACTGGAATTAAGGATGAAACCTAGATTGTGAGAATGAGGCCTGGGAGGACAATAGTACCCTTCACAGTAATAGGGAATGTTTAAGAAAGAGAGAATATTATGGAAAAGAAAATGAGTTCAGTTTTGGAACCACTGAGTTTAAGATTATTACAAAACATCAACTGAAGATATCTAAGACAGAATTGGAGATGTAAGAATAAAGGTCAGCAAAGAGAGAGACTGAATAAATAGATCTGCACTGAGATGATAATTGAATCCATGGGAGCTAATGAGTTCACTAAGTGAAACAGCAAAGACTGAAAAGGGATAAGGGCCCAGGACGTAGCTATAACAGTGGACCTTCCCACTGCATCACATAATATGGCATACAGTAATATATGGTAACCAAAGACAAATCAGCAGAGACTAGCCAGGTGGAATCACAACAAAATTTTAATCTCTTCAATCAGAAATCATCTTTTATGATGCTTTTCTGAGCAATGTTGCTCCAGTTTTGATGCTCCTATCTGGATCAAATTATCTGAGTGCCTGAAAACTTCTGTGTTCCCCCATTATATTTCATCCCACAAGATTTATCAGCCTCTATCAGCTAAGATTTCATGTCTTATTTTAACAGCAGCACTTAATCAATTCACAATCAATTTATCCAAGAGGATGCTTAGATCTTATTACCATGTTAAATGTGAGATTTTATAATGAAGTAAAAGTAAAAAATGAAGCAATAACAGGATGTTTTAATTATCCTTCAGTTTTGGGAGAAGGTTTTTAAAAGACACTAGTATTTTTTTGATAAAATAATATCATGCTTTTTGAATACCTTCTTTTGATGTTCCAATGTAATATTTATATCCTTCTGTTTCTGTTCCTGAGTATTCACAAGAGATATGATAAAAGTCCTCTTCCCTGGAGACAATAAAATTGTATTTGTTGGATATAATGAACCATCTTCTAAAATTCCAAAGTCAGTATCACTTGAATGAATAAGGTTTGGAGACTTCAAGCAATCTTCCAGATTAACTGTATGAAAATAAAAATTCATGATAATATGAAAATAGAAATGAATTTCTGCAGAAATCCAAGCGACTTTGCAAGAATGATAGACAGGGAGAGAAGAACCCAGTCATACCAGAATCATCAAATGTTCCTACCAATTTTTAAAAAATCATTTGCGAATGATTTTTAAATGAGATGCACTTCTAAAAAGGAATCCATGTTTTGATTCAGCTATATTTCAAGTGAAAACATATTACTTTGAATAGACAATTATTAGCCTTTTAAATATGCTCTTTTTAAATATTTTTATAAATGAGAATTTTCATCTATTTCTAAGGACAAAATACTTAAACTATGATGTATGTGACTTGAAATTATGATTCACCTGAGGAAATCACATTTCTTAAAGATATCACATAACCTACAAGAGATACATGCCCATTACCAGGACCTAAAATAGTCCCATGAGGCAGCTAGGTTACAAATTAGATACAGTGCTAACCCTAGGGATGACCTGAGTTCAAATCCAACCTCAGAAACTTATAAGCTGTGTGACCTTGAGCAAGTCACTTAATCCTGTTTGCTTCAGTTTCTGCATCTGCAAAATGAACTGGAGAAGGAAATGGCAAACCACTCCAGTATTTTTGCCAAGAAAACCCCAAATGAAGTCACAAACTGTCAGACACAAATAACTGACTAATAAACAAAAAGCAGTTCCATACACACTTACAGAGACTAAAGGAAACAAAACAAGCAACAACAACAATGTTGCCTGAGCTAATAAATACAAATGAAAACAAATAAGAGAGGGAGCACTGGGTAGAGCATTAGACCATTAAAAATAAAAATTCTGATGAGTGCATGGGCTTTTCCACACAGCAGGGGAGGGAGGGGAGGACAAAAAGATTATGAACCCTCAGACTATAGTGCCTTCCACCTATAGATCTACGAGTTCTTTTTCTGCAGTCTTGAATTACTTCTAGTCCTCTTGCTACAGCAGTATCTATCATTGGAATTCAGATTTTAACTGGAAGCATTAACAGGTAGATAGAAGAATACAAAGATAATAACTGAAAAGGAAAAAATACAAAGAAGAAATCACAACTAGCAGCAAAACCACAGACCAAGATTTAAAAATAAAAAATTTAACAAAATTATGAACACCAGAAGCATCGTCAATATTATTTTGACTTTTGTTTGCTTCCAAATAGCACTCTGAATGGTCAGGGTAAATAATTTTATAGTTGTTTTCCATTTTCAAAAAGGGAGCTTAAAGAATAAAGTCTAAACAACAATTTATAAAATATTATGGCATATCTTACCTCTGCCAACAATTTCATTAGCTTCTAGTTTAGTAGGCACATAGAAAGTTACATCATTACAGGCTTCACAGGGAAAATTCAGGACCTAGAAAGAAAACCAAAACTATTTGAGATAATTATTCTTGATATAAAATTGTTATTTTAAACTGCGCACAAGAGAATCTTTCAAATTAATTTATAAAATAAAATGCCTTCAGTAAAACAAAGTGAAAATATAATATACTTGAATAGCAAGCCTGAAAAATTTTTGTCTAATTAGTTTAAATTTTACAGTGTGTTCCAAAAGTCCTAGTACCATTTTTAGCTATTAAACTGCACTAAGACTTTTGATACAACATATTACACACACACACACACACACACACACACGGGCAAACATATGTGTGTGTGGAGAGAGAAAGGAGAGGGAGGAAGGATATATCAGAGTGGTGGCCATGTGAGAAGTATATGGATATGAGAAATATTACAGAGGTACAATTAACCAGAGTTGGCAACTGATTGGGAATGTAGAGTCAGAGTAGGGAGTAAAAGAATGACTACAAAGTTCCAAACCTGGTTGGCTGAAATTATGGTGTACTCTTTACAGAAATAGAGAAATTCAGAAGAGGGATGGCTTTTACAGGAAAGATGACAAGCTCTGCTTTCACTATGTTGAATTTTAAATGTCTACAGGGTTTCCAGTTTGAAAAGACCAACAAGCAATTTGTGGAGGACTGGTACTCAGAAGAAAAACTAGGCCTGACTTGTCATCTAATTGCTTTGTTTTAAAACTCAGATTTATCAATGAGGCTGCTAGAAAAAATATAATGCCATCAACTTGCTGCATAATATCAAGGAAGTCATTTAACCACTCTTGTCCTCTTTCTTCTCATGTAGAATGATCCCTTCCATCTCTAAAATTCTGAGCTAAGAATGTATAGTTTCTGAAGACAGTTTAAAACATTGGTTCCAAAAAATATATAATACAATCTTTTAAGTAAAGGTATAACCCCAAAGTATAATCCTAGGGCAGCTAGGTGGCACAGTAGATAGTGTCTGGCCTGAAGTCAGGAAGATTCACCTTCCTGAGTTTAAATCTGGCCTCACTTACTAGCTGTGTGACCCTGGGCAAGTCTTTTAACACTATTTGCCTCAGTTTCCTATCTGTAAAATGAGCTGGAGAAGGAAATGGCAAACCACTCCAGTATCTTTGCCAAGAAAATAACAATATATATGAAACAAATAATATATAAAACAACAATAACAAATAACAACATAACCCAAAGTAATCACTTTGGGAAGTATACTACACATCTGGCCAACTAAATTATATGTTTTGTGTTTTTTTTCCCAAAGGTCATAGTTTCTTGTTGTTCTGTTATTTTTCTCTCCCCCCTTCCCCATGAATACACATCCACACAATTTTATGAAATTTTTAATGGCCTCAAAAAGAAAAAAAGAAGGAAAGGTCTTATGTATTAGAGGAGCACCACTATGAAAACAGGTTATTTTAAGAAAATCCAAAATTTATAAAACTGATTGGTCAAGGAGAATGATTATGTAACAAAAAGGTTGTATTAAACAGCTACCTTTAGTGCATTTAAAATATGGTTTGATTTATAAATAACTTTTTAAAACCACATCAAATGAAATGGATAAGATCTATCATATATATGTATATATATGCATACATCTCTATAGGTATACTTATGCATACATATGTATATGTATACATATATATGTACATTCACACATACACAAAACTGAATTATGCTCTGTGAATAGTAATTGGCTAGATTTCATTCTACTACACTTTGACTATATTTTTTGTATTAATTCAACTCTCCATAATAATTTTACAATGTATTATGTGAAGTCAGTTGAATTGTTTTGCTTTGTTAATTTTGAAAATTTATAGAATTCAAAGACAAAGTTAGACTCTCCGAGATTGTTTTATATGTATTAAAATATGATGTTACAAAGAATCAGTGTCGGTTTTCTAAAACAACTATTATTTTTAGTGGAAGGCTTTGAGTATAAAATGGAGGCTACATTGAGTAATTAGACCAAAGTTCTCTGTTGAATTGAGTCACACTGCTCCAATACCAATGGTCTAACCCTTATAATGAGAGGTGGAAAACACTACAGTTCTGATTAAGTGAGCCAGATTAGTATGTAATTGGGCAATATTTAGCAAAATAAATAAAAATACAATAGAACACAAATAATATTAATGTGGTTTTCTAAGTCAACATGCAGCCCATATGGCATGCTTCCTTTTTTCGAATTTGACGTCACTACCCTATACCACACAAATAATAGAGGATGTTCATTATTAAGGGAATCAAAAACAAGGTGAGGATAGTTAAAGCTTCATAGACTGGTAGCTTATGAAAATGCTAAAGACAATAAAAAGGCTTTTTAGCTTTGTTAGGAACAAGATAAAGATCATCATACCTTCCCTGAATTAGAAGGTAATCACAGGTGAAAGAAAATTTGGTCAACTCCCATTTTGTTCCTGGTTTCTCTATTAAAGAGAACAATCTTCTGATAGCAAAAATGGAATAAAACCAAGACCAAGGATAAATAGGATATATAAGAAAATAATTAAAAGGGGGAGAAGGGGAAGGGAACATGCATTTACTAAGCCATTACTCTGTGCTAGGCATTGTGCTAAGTATTTTATTATTTCATTTCATCCTCACAACCACCCTGGGAGGTAAGAATTATTATCTCCATTTTATGATTGAGAAAACTGAGGCAGACAGTGATTTGCCCAGGGTCACACAGTAAGTGTCTGAGGCAGAATTTGAATCAAGATCTTCTTGACTCCAGGCTCAGTACCCTATTCACGGTGCCACCTAAGGTCTTAATTGCTCCTAATGAGTTCAGATCACCTGGCCTAAATAAACTACATCCCCGAGAGAATTTGTGAAAATAATTGTTAAACCACTGTCAATGACCTACATCCAGGGAGAAGAGGAGAGGTCTGTGAGTGGAAAGACAGGAAAGAGTTCCAATTATCAAAAAGGGAAAAAAGGTATTCATTTCAGATTGTAGGGTGGGGTGTTTAATCCTGATTTCTAAAGAAATTCTAGAAGTGACTGCTAAAAGTACCAACTATACCTAGAAAGGATGAGGTGTACCATTATGATGGGATGGGTTTATTAGGGGCAAGTAAACCTGGAAAATGGTGTTTATACTATCACGCATGGTGAATATATTGAACCATTTTCTTGAGCATTTTTCTTTTTATTTAATCTTTGTTAGACGGGAAAGCTTATTGTGTAAAGGAAGTAGAGTATTTAAACATTAATGTAATATAGTAGCAAAAGGCATCAATAACAAAAATAAAATGGAGGCAAAAAAAAGAGAGTAAACTATGCCAGACTAGCCTCATTTCCTTCTCTACTAGCATCACTAGACCAGAAACCAAGATAATGCCAAGGATGAGGTAAATATGGATTTGAGCAAAGCAGTATAGAAAGTATTGCTCCAGATGTTCTTCTTAGCCCAGTGGATAGAGCACTGGCCCTGAAGTCAGGAGTACCTGAGTTCAAATCTGGCCTCAGACCAAACACTTGACACTTACTAGCTGTGTGACCCTTAACCCAATTGCCTAAAAAACAAAACAAAAACAGATGTTTTTCTTGACCTTTCTGCAGCATCTGACACTATTAACGAAATGTATCTCTTGGATTCTCTTTTTCTTTCGGTTCTTGTGGCAATCTGATCATTCATTCTCAGTCTCCTTTGCTGGACCATCATCCATGCTATACCCATTAACTAAAGGTGTGTTCCAATGTTCTATCTTGGGGCCTCTTCTATTTCATGTACGTTAACTTGGTGATCTCATTGGCTCGCATGAGTTTAGTTATTATCTCTATGTAGATAATTCCCAGATCTACATAGTCAGTACTTGTCTTCTGAACTCCAGGCCCATTTACATCACAAACTACCTACTGGACATTTCACACCACATATCCCACCAGCTTATCAACTTAACTCATTGAGAAAACTTTACCTTCTTCTGAACTTTGTTATTACTTCTGAGAACACCACCTTCATTGCAGGTAACCAGATTTACAACCTCAATGACACCCTCAGCTTCTCCTTTCTTTTTTTTTTAAATTAAATTAACCAAAGGCTTATCTATTTTATTGGTTTTTTCATAAAACCAGCTCTTAGTTTTATTTGTTAGTTCAACAGTTTTCTTAATTTCAATTTTATTAATTTTTCCTTTGGTTTTCAATATTTCTAATTTGGTGTTTAGTTGAGGATTTTTAATTTGTTCTTTTTCTAGTTTTTTTAGTTGTATGCCCAATTCATTAATCTCCTCTTTTTCTATTTTATTTATGTAAGCATTTAGAGATATAAAACTTCCCCTAAGAACTGCTTTCACTGCATCCCATAGGTTTTGGTATGTTGTCTCATTATTGTCATTCTCTTGAATGAAATTATTGATTGTTTCTATGATTTGTTGTTTGACCCAATCATTTTTTAGGATTAGATTATTTAGTTTCCAATTATTTTTTAGTCTATCTTTCCATGGCCCTTTATTACATATAATTTTTATTGTGTCATGATCTGAAAATGATGCATTTAATATTTCTGCCTTTCTGCATTGGATTGTGAGGTTTTTATGCCCTGGTACATGGTCAATTTTTGTGTATGTGCCATGTACTGCCGAGAAAAAAGTATATTCCTTTCTAACCCCATTCAGTTTTCTCCAGAGGTCTATCATACCTAACTTTTCTAATGTTCTATGCACCTCCTTAACTTCTTCCTTGTTTATTTTGTGGTTAGACTTATCTAGTGCCGAGACGGGGAGGTTCAGGTCCCCCACTAGTATAGTTTTACTGTCTATTTCTTCCTGTAACTCCCTGAACTTCTCCTGTAAGAATCTGGGTGCTATACCATTTGGTACATATATGTTTAGTAATGATATTACTTCATTGTCTATGGTGCCTTTTAGCAGGATGTAGTTTCCTTCCTTATTTCTTTTGATTAGATCCATTTTTGCTTTTGTTTTGTCTGAGATCAGGATTGCTACCCCTGCTTTCTTCACTTCAGCTGACACATAATATATTCTGCTCCAGCCTTTTA